ACCCGGTCGGCTTTGGCTGCTTTAGAGCCCTGGATCTTGCTAACAATGGAAAAATAGTGAGAAAGACAGGCATTATGGAGGCTGGGAGGAGGACAGAGGCAGTGCCTAAACAATCCAGATACTTCTGCCTAATTATCTCACATTAATTTGTTGAAAAATAATCATTCTAAACTTATAATGAGGTAAAGCTGCTGTGAGCTTTTGAAGTTTGTCTTCAGCTACAGGAATTTTTATGTCCCAGGAGTCGGCTTTTATTAAGACTATAACAACGTTTCATTAAATTTCGTTATATGAAGGTGGCTTGTAAAACTTTTTTCAGCGTACTATCCCATCATCACTTACTTTTGTTACTTTTTCAAATGGCTTTTTTATGTGTTGATTTGTAAATTATTAATCTTGTAGCCGAACCACACTTTCAATTTGTATTCACGGCCACTTTATTAGGTACATCTTACCAGTACCGAGTTGGACCCCATTTTTGCCTTCAGAACTGCCTTAATCCTTCGTGGCGTAGATTCAACAAGGTACTGGAAATATTCCTCAGAGATTTTGGTCCTTATTGACATGATGGCATCACACAGTTGCTGCAGATTTATCGGCTGCACATCCATGATGTGAATCTCCAGTTCCAACACACATCACAAAGGTGCTCTACTGGACTGAGATCTGGTGTCTGTGGAGGCCATTTGAGTACAGTGAACTCATTGTCATGTTCAAGAAACCAGTCGGAGATGATTCACGCTTTCTGACAAGTTAAACTATGCTGTGCTATCCAACAGCTGAGTATTTCTGTACTATCAGAATTTTCAAATTAATCTGTCGGGCAATAAATTGACTTGAGTTTCGTTTCAATTAAAGTTGTTTACTGAATTCTACTATTTAACTATATATAAAAATAAAAAATAATAAAAAACGGTGTTCCTCTGCCTTTCTTTCTTTCACTTTCCTCTCTCAAAATAGAGTGTTGCAAATAGCAAATAAGTATTAAACATGACACAATTTATCTTAGAAAACATACTTCTAAAGGCGCTGTTAAATTTTCCTCGGATGTTGGTAACAACCCAAGAAATCCTAAATGCAAAGGAAACAAAACTAATTTGTTTACAAATGAAGTTCTGTGTAATAAAATTAAACAACGCACGGAAAACGTATTAAACGCATAAAGAAAGGAAGGCGTAGAAAGGTAGTGAAAGCCCAGACAGCAGCAGAAATCTCTCAGTTCTTCAGCAACCATCTGCCCTTCCTCATTGTAAATGATTATTCCCTGCTTCAGTCCAACATCTACATTAGCAGGAGGATGAAGATGAAGCCAGGGTGGACATTTCAACAAGACAATGATCCGAAACACAGCCAAGGAGACTCTCAAATGCTTTCAGAGTTGAAAAACCAAGTTGTAGAATGACCCAGCCAATCACCTGACACAAATCCAATAGAAAATACCATTAAAAAGGGGTGAAATAAGCAAATGTACTCAACTACAAATCAAATTATACATGAATTTGAGCACTTAATAAATTATATTAAATCACGTTAATCACATTATTGCTTTTACAATTTCTCTTTAAAAAGCAACACGTATGATAATAGTAAGACGTATAGATTTGTAAACTGCCTTACCTTGTGAAGGCATCATCATCTGGAATCAATTTTATCCTGGGTACAGTTTCACTATAAAAACAATACATCATTTTGAGCGAATCGGTGATCTTAGCTTTGCACTAGACATGCCATCATAGAAATAACATTTGGCACAGTGACAACTGCTCTAATCAGGCTGCCTTCATGAGGTAGTTATTATTGGAGCGAAAAACATTAAAGGGGACATATACAATGCAGCACAGCTGTTTCTGCACATGAAGACCTGCAGATGGAGAAAGACCAAGGCAAAGAGAGTGAATCCCTCCAATTGAAAACACTTTCCTGAAACATCATGCTTATGGACATTATTTTTTGTGAATTAGCATATGTTATGCCTGGCTCAGGTTTCTTTATTCGTCTGCCCTCAAAGAGTGTTTTGTTTGGCAAGAATAAACCTTTTTAATGTAGCAAAGGCAAAAAAAAAAAAAAAAAAAAAGGATAATAATGGATATTATTTAAAAATGAGTGGGCAGCACAGTAGCTCTGTGGTTAGCACTGTCGCCTCATAGCAAGAAGGTTGCTGGTTCAAGTCCTGACTAGATCAGTTAGCATTTCTGTATTGAGTATGCATGTTCATGTTATCAAATATACATGAATTGTATGAACTAAATTGGATGTAGTGTGTGAATATGAGAGTGTATGGGTGTTTCCCAGTACTGGGTTGCAGCTGGAAGGGCATCCGCTGTGTAAAACATATGCTGGAATGGTTTATTCCGCTGTGGCGACCCCTGATAAATCAGAGACTAAGCCGAAGGAAAATTAATGAATGAATTATACAATTATTATTATTATTATGATAATTATTATTATAATAAGTAGTGATATTATACTGTTTAGATTCTCATAACATGTACATTTCCAGCAAATCATCCAAACTAGACATTCTAGTAAGACGCAGTTACTAAAACTGGACATTTCAAGTGAAGAGACCTGCTACACTTCTGTGGGAGTTCTATATATATTTAATTTTATTCGATATGCATTTACAATATATATGTAAGTCACAATTTGCCAGGGGTATGAATAATGTTGTGCCTGATTGTATTTAGATTTTGTTTGTTTGTTTGTTTTACTTTTGGTGTTTTTTGCTGTATTATTATGAGAGAATATATGGACAAAAAAAATTGCCAGAGTAAATTGGCGGTGGGTTGAGGCAGTGGCGCAGTAGGTAGTGCTGTCGCCTCACAGCAAAAAGGTCGCTGGGTCGAACCTCAGCTCAGTTGGTATTTCTGTGTGGAGTTTGCATGTTCTCCCTGCCTTTGCGTGGGTTTCCTCCGGGTGCTCCGGTTTCCCCCACAGCCCAAAGACATGTGGTACAGGTGCATTGGGTTGGCTAAATTGTTAGTAGTGTATGAGTGTGTGTGTGAATGTGTGTGTGGATGTTTCCCAGAGATGGGTTGCGGCTGGAAGGGCATCCGCTGCGTAAAAACTTGCTGGATAAGTTGGCGGTACATTCCGCTGTGGCGACCCCGGATTAATAAAGGGACTAAGCCGACAAGAAAATGAATGAATGAATGAACTCTAGGGGGTTTATTTAAACCCTGCTGAAAAATCCAGCTTAAACCAGCCTAGGCTGGTTTAAGCTGGTCGACCAGCCTGGTTTTAGAGGGATTTTGGCCATTTTTTAGCTGGTCAGGCTGGAAAATGAGGAGCCAAATCCAGCTAAACCAGCTTGACCAGCCTGGTTTAAGCTGGATATAGCTAGTTTTGGCTGGACTACCAGCTTGGCTTGGCTGGTCAAGCTGGTTTTAGCTGGTCATCTCCCAGCCTGACCAGCTAAGACCAGGCTGGAAATGGCTGGAAACCAGCCTGGAAGTGGCCAAGACCCCTCTAAAACCAGCCTGGTCGACCAGCTAAAACCAGCCAACCAGCCTAGGCTGGTTCAAACTGGATTTTTCAACAGGGAAATCTTATATTACCTGGTAAGTATACCTATAAATGCAACCAGTTTCGTCATTTATTATTTATTGATCCATTAATGTTTTGTTCAAGGTAATTAACTAAATTGCTCAAGACGTTGGTTATTTCAAATATAGAAGCGCTGCAAGCGAGAAAGTGAAATAGCTCGCACTTTAGACAGCCTTGTAAACAGCTACAGTGCACAAGGTAAACTCTGCTCGTTTCCTTGGCTTTGTGGCTGTTCATGAAGACGACGACAAGGTTTTTTTGAGCTCGGGTTGACCATGTCTTGTTATTATATGTATTGTATGTAGTATAACAGTGTAATGTCTTGGCTGTGTATTTAAAAATGGCGGTTCCTTTGTTTTCGACTAACTCCGCCTTTTGGTACCGTTTTGTCATGCTAGGTATGCTTTTGAAAAGGTACTCAAAAAGTGATATGATACGGTTCGCTTTTAGGTACCTTTTGATGGTGGAAACGGCCATAAAAGCGTACCGAACCGTACCACTCAGTGGAAATGGGCCATATGGGGAGTTCTGTGTAGGCGGAGGTAACGATACACTGCGTAGAGTGAAACCGGATACCTCGTGACGTCTATTGTCAGCTGTGTCAGTGGTTGATAAAAGCAAAGAGTTCTGGGAGTTGTTGTTTGGTAGGAATACCGGAAGTAATCTCCACACAGCTGGCGATCACAACATCGATACTTTTAGCCCCCTTAAGTAATTTTTTTCTTGATTGACCATAAAACAAACCATTTTTATATAATGGGTCGCTTAATTAGCTTAATTAACTTAGTTAAGCCTTTAAATGTCACTTTAAGCTGAATTCTAGCATCTTGAAAAGTATCTAGTAAAATATTATATTCTGTCATCATGGCAAAGATAAAATAAATCAGTTATTAGAGATGAGTTATTAAAACTATTATGTTTAGAAATGTGCTGAAAAAAAATCTACTTTCCGTTAAATAAAAATTGTGGATAAAAAATATACAGGGGGGGGCTAATAATTCTGACTTCAACTGTATGTAAAACATTTTGTCCAACGGCCAAATATTGTCCTGGACAAATGTATTTATTCAGCATTTAGATGATGTGTAAAGCTCAACTTCCAAAAAGATTGACCGTAATGTCTGCTTTTGTGGTCCAGGGTCGCATATGAGGTTGCGAAAACACATTACTGTATAATTTAAGTCTCAAGTTTGTTGATCTTTGGCTTAACTCGAAGTGAGGGGAATATGAAGAGCTGGCATTAACATCACACTCGCTCTGGATGGATGCTGGATGCTTCAAGCGTTTCCCTCGGGAGGATGAAAAATGTGTCAAAATGTTGCTGCTTTTGAGGGGGGAAAAAGATTCACACCGCCGTAAATCTCAGACTCTGGCTATTCCTCTGGGCTTGTGAAGCTTTATTGCACCCTTGATGTCCGTCTGTAAGTGTCCAATATGTCTGTTTCACCCTGCAGATCAGGAAGTGTGCAGCATCACTGGAACGAAATATATAACTTTGTGGAACATCTGGCCCAAAAATTCATAAGGTAGGCAAAGAAGAAAGTCTCACACATTTTCTGTGAGTGTGCAGTAGTTTCTGGTTTATATGTGGACGGAAATTGACAGAAAAATCACCCAAACAAACACCATCTCTCTGTAATTTTTCTTAGAAATAATATTTAGTGTGTAATTGCATCTGTTATTCACGTTTGACATATTCAAGTTCACCCAAGCATGAAAATATCATTAGCTCAATTCAAACATTTCTTCTGTTGAACACAATGGAAGATAAACTAAAGAATGGGGAAAAGTCACTTCCATAGTACATTTTTAAAATTGTAGTTTGTTGTTTGTTTAAACTACACTACCTGACAAAAGTCTTGTCTTAGATCCCAGTTGTAAAAGCAACTAGACTTCTATTTGATCATTTGGAAAAGTGGCAGAAGGTCGATTTTTCTGCTGAATCATCTGTTGAACTGCATCCCAATCATCACAAATACTGCAGAAGACCTACTGGAACCCACATGCACCCAAGATTCTCAGAGAAACAAGTCAAGTTTGGTGAAGGAAAATCATGGTTTGGGGTTACATTCAGTATGGGGACGTGCGAGAGATCTGCAGAGTGGATGGCAACATCAACAGCCTGAGGTATCAAGACATTTGTGCTGCCCATTACATTACAAACCACAGGAGAGGGCGAATTCTCCAGCAGGATAGCGCTCCTTCTCATACTTCAGCCTCCACATCAAAGTTCCTGAAAGCAAAGAAGGTCATGGTGCTGCAGGATTGGCCAGCCCAGTCACCAGACATAAACATTATTAAGCATGTCTGGGGTAAGATGGAGGAGGCGTTGAAGATGAATCCAAATAATCTTGATGAACTCTGGTAGTCCTGCATGAAGGCTTTCTTTGCCATTCCAGAAGACTTTATTAATCAGTGATTTGAGTCATTGCAGAGATGTATGGATGCAGTCCTCCAAGCTCATGGGAGTCAGACACAATATTCATTCTTTCTCCACTGCAGCATGACTTTATATTCTATACTGGACATTATTTCTGTTCAGTGACAAGACTTTTGTCTAAGGAAAGTCAGACCTTACTTTCCTAATTAAATCATTTAAAATCAAGCCATAATCATATTTTATTTTGGTCAATAAGCGTAATCTAGAGGCCTTTGACTTTCATATTAGCCACTTCTGATACCAAATGATAAACTTGAAGTTATTGTTTGTTGTTCCTAAGCCTTAGATCTGTGACAAGACCTTTGTCAGGTAGTGTACTTATTTAAAATAAGCTAAAACAACACAATTCTTAATTTTTTTTTGGGAAACTTAATTGTTTTATGTGCAATCCACTAAAATTAGTAAAAACTAGTAAGTTTACTTGATTCCTTCTTGTTGACCCAACACAAATTGAGTGTGTGGAACCCAGCATGTTTTACAACGTTCAATTCTTTCATGTCGTCCCCACAAAAATGTATTAAGTTAACCTAATAAAATTTTGTATAATTACATATTCTTTAAATATTCTGAATAAATGCTATTTTATTTTATTTCTTTTTACATAAATGTAAAACTCGATGATGATGATGTGACATTATTGTTCCAGAATTTAGACTTTTTATTTGCACAAAAGGGATTGTAAATATAAAGTAATTACCATGCTTGGGATTAAAATGTTGTTATGGGTGTAAAATGATGTGTTTGAATTATTTTTGTTTTAAAAATATCGCTAGTCAAATATTGATCACGATTAATCATATCCAAAATATGTGAAGTTTTTTTATAAACTAATTTTCCCGCATTATTCAATTTATGATTTACCAATCAGACGATTCCTAATCAACTTCCGATATGGGTGGCACAGTGGCCCAGTGGTTAACACTGTTGCCTCACAGTACGAACGTCACTGGTTCTAATCCTTACCAAGCCAGCCGGCGTTTCTGCAGAGGTTACACGTTCTCCCCGTGCTCACGTGGGTTTCCCCCGGGTTCCCCGGTTTCCTCCCACCGTCCAAAAACATGCAACTTAAGTTAATTGACTAATCCAAATCAGCACCATAGACATGCTCCTAGTAAGTAGTTATCTTTAAGAGCAATCACTATCTGTATATTAGCCACTACAGCAGGGGAGTTCTTGAGATCTACCTGAGCTCAAACTCCCCTCTTGCCTTGCAAATGGGAGGGAGCCCCGAGCTTGAGGATTTTATGAGCTCAGGGCTCTCTCCTGGGACAGCATGCCAAACAAGTTTTATAATCAATCATCAGCTAAGCCACTCTTGAAATATTTGTTTTGACATAATATATGTATGTGTGTTATATATATGTATTATGTATATGTGATACACACACATACATAGAAACAGAACTATACAAAACACTTTTGTTAGAGATTTAAATTTATATATCATTTTATATCATCTACAAATATATTGTATTTTCATTCGTTCATTTCCCTTCGGATTAGTCCCTTTATTCATCAGGGATTGCCACAGCAGAATGAACCGCCAACTTATCCAGCTTATGTTTTACATAGCGGATGCCCTTCCAGCAGCAACCTAGTACTGGGAAACACCCATACACTCATACACTACAGACAATTTAGTTTATTCAATTCACCTTTAGCGACTGTGGCGGAAACTGGAGCACCCAGAGGAAACCCACGCTAACACGGGGAGAACATGCATACTTCACACAGAAATGCCAACTAACCAGGCTGGAACTCGAACCAGCAACCTTCTTGCTGTTAGACGACAGTGCTAACAGTGGGTACAGTCCAAACACAAGCGCTATAGGTGAATTGGGTATGCTAAATTGTCTCTAGTGTATGTGTGTAAATGAGTGTGTTTGGGTGTTTCCCAGTGATGGGTTGCGGCTGGTAGGGCATTCACTGCTTAAAACGTGCTAGATAAGTTGGCGGTTCATTCTGCTGTGGCGACCCCTGATAAATAAAGGAACTAAGCCGAAACGAAAATGAATGAATGAGTTAATTAGCATGTTCTGAAATGAATGCATGCATGAGTGTATTTATATATACATCATAAACACACACAGTACACATTATACCAAAACATCCTTTTATTCATGTATTAAGCAAACGATTCATTTTCGAATTCAAAAATAAAACAAATTGATGATATTTTCAGATGCCAAAATGTCTTTCCCCCATTTGTTTACACATGTTTGTTCTTGCATTTAGCCCGCAGTTGCGAATGTCCTTCATTGTATTCTCCGATCAGGGCAAGATTCTGATGCAGCTCACAGAAGACAGGTGAGTGATCTTCATTGGTTTAAAGGGGATAGTTCACGCAAAAATGAAGATTTATCATCATTTTCTCACTCTCGAGTGATTCTAAACATTTATTATGAGCTTCTTTTCTTTCGGTTTAACACAAAACTAGATATTCTGAAGAATGTTGGACAAAAGCAGCTGTAGTAGGAGCAAAAATACTATGGCAGATTTTTCCCAGCATTCTTCAGCATATCTTTCTTCGTAATCAACAGAAAAAGAAACTCAAACAGGTTTACGACAAGTGGAGGACGAGTAAACGATGAGAGAATTTCCATGTCTGGTTGGTCTGTCACTTTAAAGGGCACATAGTTTACCCCTTTTTTTAAGATTTAATATTAATATTATGGTTCTTCTGAGTGTGCCAGTTTAGGTTCAGTTCAACACACAGTTCAGATGTTTTTATTATAATGTGTTAAAAGTGTCATGTTGTGGCCGTGTACACAGTTTTAACTTTAACGATCATTAATCATTAAAGTGTTTCAAATAGACCCTGATAAGTTTTTTTTGTGGTATTTATTTCATGCTGTGCATGAAAAAAATCCCTAATTCATCAATTATATATCCCCGTAAGTATCATTAATGTGAAAAGGAACAAAAGTTGATGCCATTATTCTTCTCGTACAGTGTGAAAAAATAAAATGACTCAACATTGTAAGACAACTTGCTGGAGAGCTTTTTTTTCTGTGATTTTTCAATGAACTCTAAAAAGCTCTCCAGCGAATTGCCCTACAATTTGAGTGAATTTTCTTTTCTTTTTTACAGTGCTGTAGCATTCATGAAAGTGTTGTTTTTTCATTTGAATTATCCATAGTATAACACAGTATCTTTCCAGAGATGGGTTGTGGCTGGAAGGGCAACTGCTGCGTAAAAAACTGCTGGATAAGTTGGCGGTTCATTCCGCTGTGGTGACCCCAGATTAATAAAGGGACTAAGCCGACAAGAAAATGAATGAATGAATGAATAACACAGTATCCAGAATATACAGTATTGTGCAAAAGTCTTAGGCTCCCAGTTACATTAGTTGTTTAAGTGAGGGCATATTGACATTATATATTACTCCTCGTTCTCTTTATTAAAAAATACAACCAGAAAAAAAAGGTTCTAGTAAGATTTTTTGGGTCTAAATGTTTAAGACATATGAAAGAAAGAGCTAGAGTTAAATTTGAGTTTCGGTCTAGGTCTGATCTGTATTTCTGCCAGGGCTGTTGTCAATATTGACTGAACTGATAGGATTTTGAACGCTGAAATTTTGACTTGTCATGTAATTCCTACTAGAAAGCACCTCATTTGTAATAGTTTTTTTTCTGCATGATAATGACCCCAAACACACTGCTAATGTTATTAAATCCTATTTGATATATTATATCCTACAGCTCAAAGACAGTCATGAAATGGCCTCCACAGAGTCCAGACCTGAATATTATTTACCAACATTGGCTCATTTTGAAAACGTAGCCCTATATACCTTTCTGGAGATTGCGAATTATGTAGTTAGAGGTACGTATGGCTGCTTTTCATCTTTAAAACAAATGCTACAGGGCGGTATGACGCCGTTCCTTTTCGCGTCTGCTAGCTGACCGATTACCTCCATATGGGCGGCTTTCCCACTGTTACCAGTTTGTTCAGTGGCTCGCCATGTATGTTGTTGGACTTGAGACGCAGAGAGGAGTTGACTACAACGACAGGGTTCAAATCTGGTGAACAAGTAAATAGCGGGGTGAGAATGTGGTAAAATCTGAAAACGTGGAAAAAATCAGATGATTTATTTTCCTGCAACGGTTAATTGGGTTTAGGGAAGTGGGTGGCCGGATCAATAAGTGCTTTTGAAAACACTATCGGTTGGGTTTAGGAAAGAAGGAGGGTGGGTCAGTTGATCAGTCATTTAGTCAGTCAGTCGACAGTGGCCTATGGTGGATTTATGCGAGATCAGCAGGCGCGAATGGCACTCACGAGGGAAAATTGAGATCTCAAAAAGTGTACACAGCGCCCTCTGGTGGATTCGCGAAAACAAAAACTGCAAAAATGAGAATGTATTTGCCGCTTTCCAGAAATGTGTAGAGGTGTACGTTTTCAGAATGAGCCTGGGTTGTTAGTTACAGTATGTATAGGCAATATCAGTATGAGATACACCAGGAGAGACAAATAAAGATGCTGAATCTAAGGAAGAACTCTTAGAAATGCTGAAAGATGCTTGATAGCAGATCATTTCAGAAAAGACTCAACATAAAAGTTCAAGCTGTTGCTCGGTGCTAAAGACACAAACTAAACACAAACTAACACAAACTTTTTACATTAGTCTTTTGATTCAAAAGGATATTTTGTTCTGAATATTATGTACATATTTACTATATTTTCTGTCTGTAAATTAAATAAATAGTTCACCCAAATGTAATGATCCTGCACTAGCTCCACACTTTTTTTTACATGCAAAAGAGGCTTCCAAAGCTGGTGGTGGCCTAAGACTTTTACACAGTACTTCTCCATGTAGTGTTTTTCAAGCGAGTTGAAGTGAACTACTCCACAAAAGTAGCAAGGATTGAGTAGGATTGTGGCCATGATGTATTTTTATAGCTTCTCCTCCCTTTCTCTCTCTTTCATTGTATGTTTTTTTGTCAGAGAGCAAATTCGTAAGGGTCTGAAGGAGCTCCAGGACGTGCGGCCAGGTGGAGACACTTTTATGCATGAAGGCATTCAGAGGGTGAGTGAGCCAATAGGAGCCATCTTGGCTCAGCAGTTGCCCACCCAGCGATGACAAATTACTGTAAATAGCCTTCACGAAGGTTATGTTTGGCCAGTACCGCAGACAAATGGACATAAAAAGTGTTGAGCTGCTAAATGATCTTTCGCAGCTGGGTAAATTTATTCCTCACCTCTAAAATACTGTGAATGTTGTCTGATCTGCTTGAGATTACAATATTTTTGAACGTTTTTCTCTGCTTTTGTTTTACTGCTAGGCAAGTGAACAGATTTACTATGGGAACACAGAAGGTAGGTCCTTTTCAAAACATTGTTTTGGTGAAAGAATAAGCAGTGAAAATTCACTGAAAAAAAAAAAGACTTGTCCGTGCCATTAGTCTTGTGGTTAGTGCGTCGACACATAGCACTGAGGTGTTCACAGCGAGCCAGGTTCGATTCTCAGCTTAGGGTCCTATCTCTGCTTCACATACTTTCCTGTCTCTAAATCTCCACTGTCCTACCACAATAAAGGTAAAAACCCCTAAAAAAAAAAAAAAAAAAAAAAGATTCATTGGATTTACTACATTTTTTAAAGGTAAATGGTTGCAAACAATTCATTTTGGCTGAATTGAAACAAATAAATTAAGTTGAAAATTACTCAATTTAATTTGTTTGTTTGAATTCAGCCCATATCAGTTGTTTGCAACCACTTACCTTAAAAAAATGTAGTAAATCCAATGAATAATTTTTTTTTTCAGTGAATTTTCAAGGTGTTTCGAATTGTTTAAACTTTAATGTGGATGGTTAATGATGATTAAAGTTGCAGACCAGTTTAGTGATGGACTAAGTACACAAATAAAAGTCTTGAGGGAAATATTATGCCATAACATTTTAGGTATTAAAAGTACATTTTCCTAAAAGAACCCCAACCCCATCCCCACAATTAATTTACTTTTAACTGAAGCTGAATATTAAATAGGGGGTTTCTTTCTTCTGCCTCATTACTAGGCCCACACGGAATGTGTGCGCGCAGAATTCTGCAGGTTTTTAGCCCATCATTCATTCTGTTTATTTACTTGTGTAAATGTGTGTAAATTTATATTTATTCAGTTTCTAAATTAATTACAGTAATGTTATCGACTCATAAAAATATATTCATTTGATTTATTTACAATACAGTCTGATTTATTTACAATATATTTCTGTCTTCGACTCATAAAAATATATTCATTTGCTTTAATTACAATACAGTCTGTAAAGTTATATTTTCTGTCTTTTACTAGATATATTATACACTCTCAGAAATAATGGTACCACAAAGGTGCATATTAATGCCCAAATGTAGCTAAAAAGTACATTTGATGTACCATTATTGACCCTTCAGGTACAAATATGTACCTTTTGAAAAGGTACATTGACAGCTCCTGTACCTTTATTTCTGAAAGTGTATGAGAGACTTGCTTTGTTTACCAAATAAGTGGATCTAATGGGGTATATGCCGAGCTAGTGTGTTTCCCATGCTGATAAACTTCCGGTGATCTGTTAATGTGAGTTTTTTCCATTTTATACAATTCCTTTTACAGCATCGATGTTGTACTGTAATTAAAATACAATCAGTTAAACAGACTTTGGCATTCATTTAGTTGCTCGAGCGTAAAACAAGACAAAAAGCCGTTAGCTCGCACTCGCACGTCCGAATCGGCAGGTTAGCGCAGAAGCTCCATTAAATATACTGGGGTAAAATAAATGGTCATATTATAAAGACATGGTGGGGGGACATGTAATTCAATGCAGTGCTCGTGTACAATCTGAGACCCACTTTATATAAGATATCAATCAGCCAGTAGAGATCGCTCATTTTTAAAGAAAACAGACCTTAAACGCGCCGATTTTGCGTTGGCACACAATTCACAGGAAACGATTAACCCAGGTTACTGGCAAATTAAAAGTCCTATTAGCATGCTTCGGCATATACCCTATTGCATTTGCATGGTAAACATTAAATAGAGGTTAAAAAGGTATTACTTTTTATTTCATATATTAAGTTATTAGTTATGATGCTCCTAAAATCATTCTGCATTAATCCGCAGATTTTTAACACATTTCTGCTCAGAAATAGCAAAAAATATCCACAGATTCCATCTGCCCTACTCATTATCTCATAGCAAACTAACAGTAAGATGTGCATGGTTTAGGATATTGTGATTAAATCTGTCAAACTGACATCAGAAGACAATAAAAATAAAAACATGATACAGATTCTTAAAAAAACACCGTACTACACACTCAGAAATAAAGGCACAGCTTTCACAGGGGTGGCACAGCTTTTGTACCTTACAGGCTTATATTGATACCTTAATGGAACGTATTTGTACCTGTAGGGAGAGGTGTATTTTAGCTTTAATCCTTATTAAATACACCTGATCAAACGAATTGAGTCCTTTAGGCTTGTTTGAAACCTACAGGTTCAACTCTGTGTTGAAACAGGGTTGGAACTAAATTGTGCAGAGCTGCGGCCCTCCAGGGTCAACTGGATTTGTCACCTGTGTATAAGGTATAAATATGTAACTTTAAAGTAGAAATGAAGCACTTAGTCAAGTTAATATTATTTAGCAAATTGATTTCCATTTTAATGGAAATATATACAGTTGAAGTCAGAATTATTAGCCCCCCTGAATTATCAGCCCCCCTATTTATTTTTTTCTTCAATTCCTGTTTAACAGAGAGCAGATTTCTTCAACACATTTCTAAACATAATAGTTTTAATAACTCATCTCTAATAACTGATTTATTTTATCTTTGCCATGATAACAGTAAATAATATTTGACTAGATCAGGGGTGGCCAACCCTGTTCCTGGAGAGCCACCTTCCTGCAGATTTCAGTTGCTACCCATATCAAACACACCTGAACCAATTAATTAGGACCTGAACACCACATGATAATTACAGGCAGGTGTGTTTGATACGGGTTGCAACTGAAATCTGCAGGAGGGTGGCTCTCAAGGAACAGGGTTGGCCCTGTAGGGTTGGGGGTTGGGTTGGACGTCTTCCTCGAGTCATCATTCCAAGATAGGCGCGCACACTAACCGAAAGCGGGAGACTCGTCTTTATAGCAACCTCTCGCGACACAACCTCTCCATTGCGGCGCCTCGCAATATTTGCAAACAAAACATATGAATCATATTTATAATCATTTGACAGTAACAGAGGAACGCCACCAAATGTAGCGAAGTAAGAGTAATGATTTAGACATTTTGGTCACACTTTACAATAAGGTTCATTAGTTAATGTTAATTATTGCATTTACTAACATGAACAAACAATGAACAATACATTTACTACAGTATTTGTTCATGTTAGTTAATGTTAGTTAATGAAAATACAGTAGTTCATTGTTAGTTCATGTTAACTCGTGGTGCATTAACTAGTGTTAACAAGCATGGACTTGAATGTTAATAATGCATTAGTAAATGTTTAATTATGATTAATAAATGCTCTACATGTGTTGTTCATGATTAGTTCATGTTAGTAAATGCATTAACTAATGAACCTTATTGTAAAGTGTTACCGACATTTTTAAAATGTACTCAAAAAGTAGACGTTACCCAACTATTTTACTCAAGTAAATGTAACAAAGTAAATGTAACATGTTACTACCCAACTCTGACGAGGATGAATGCAAAGAAAAAATATAACAATAAAACATAATAATAATAATAATAATAGTAATAGATATAAAAATCTAATTAAAATGAAATAAAATAAAATAAAAATGCATGTTTCTCCTGACAAACGGTTACTAATTCAGCCAAGCACAATCTGAAGTTACAAACGTTGTTTTTGTGTGCAGGATACCGGACAGCCAGCGTCATCATCGCCCTCACTGATGGAGAACTGCACGAAAATCACTTTTATTATGCTGAAAGAGAGGTAGGAAAGCTGTTAAAAATACTTAAAATAATAGGTCAATGCCAGCTAAGAGTGTTTTTAGACACTTGTTAACGTATTTAATTAGTCCCTTATTTATCAGGGTGGGGCGAGGCAGTGGCGCAGTAGCTAGTGCTGTCGCCTCACAGCAAGAAGGTTGCTGGGTCGCTGGTTCGAACCTCGGCTCAATTGGCGTTTCTGTGTGGAGTTTGCATGTTCTCCCTGCCTTCGCGTGGGTTTCCTCCGGGTGCTCCGGTTTCCCCCACAGTCCAAAGACATGTGGTACAGGTGAATTGGGTAGGCTAAATTGTCCGTAGTGTATAAGTGTGTGTGTGAATGTGTGTGTGTGGATGTTTCCCAGAGATGGGTTGCCGCTGGAAGGGCATCCGCTGCGTAAAAACCTGCTGGATAAGTTGGCGGTTCATTCCGCTGTGGTGACCCCATATTTATAAAGGGACTAAGCAGACAAGGAAATTAATGAATAAATTTATCCACAGTGGAATGAACCACCAACTATTCTGGCATATATTTTACCCAGCGGATGCCCTTCCAGCCGCAACCCAGTACTGGGAAACACCCATACACTCTCACATTCGCACAAGCACTCATACACCTCGGCCAATTTAGTTCATCTAATTCACCTATAGCACGTGTCTTTGGACTGTGGGGGAAACCGGAGCACCCGGAGGAAACCCACACCAACACGGGGAGAACATGCAAACTCTACACAGAAATGCCAACTTACTCACTCGAACCAGCGACTTTTATGCTGTTCATTCCTTTGTGGGGACCCCTGATGAATAAAGGGACTAAGCCGAAGGCAAACGAACGAATGAAAACAATTAGCATTTGCGGTTGAATGATACCTACTTAAATGATCAACTATTTACGTACAAAATGTCAGTGACCCAACCCGGCTTCAGTTTTCCTCATCCCCCTTATTTTGACCCAATTTTGCTTTCAGCTTCCACTAACAAAGACATTATTCAGCATCTGTGATAATCAGAATTACCCAGCGTCCACTTCATAGCTCAGCCTGTGCCAAAAGCATGAGCTGCGCATGAAATGGCTAACAGACTGCAGGTGTCTGAAGTGTTTCTGCTTGTGTTTTCCTCAGGCCAATCGCTCTCGCAGCCTCGGCGCCTCTGTGTACTGTGTAGGAGTCAAGGACTTCAATGAGACTCAGGTGTGTGTGTTGATGTGTTGCGCTTGATTGTATTGTAAGATTTAAACCAGATCTTGCCACTTACAAGGTTAGAAGGTAACACTTTGAAATAAAGATCCATGTATTTACTAACATGAAATTATTCTGAAAGATACTTTAAAGCATTTATTGATCATAGTTCAATATTAACTAATGCTTTATTAAAATTCAACGTTATGCTTGTTGACATTGGTTAATGCACTCGTAATGCAATGTTAACTGACATTAACAAAGATACATAAGTACTATAATTAATGTATTACTAATTGTTTGTTCATGAAAGTAAATACAATAATGACCATTATTTAAGATGTTAACGGTTAGAAAGGTAACTATAAAGTTTCTTTAAACAATATGTGTTTATATATATATATATATATATATATATATATATATATATATATATATATATATATATATATATATATATATATATATATATATATATATATACATACACTCACCGGCCACTTTATTAGGCACACATTACTAGTACCATGCTGGACCCCCTTTTGCCTTCATAACTGCCTTAATCCTTTGTGGCATAGATTCAACAAGGTACTAAAAATATTCCTGAGAGATTTTGCTTCATATTGACATGATAGCATCACACAGTTGCTGCAGATTTGTCGGCTGCACATCCATGATGTGAATCTCCTGTTAAACCACATTCCAAAGGTGCTCTAATGGATTGAGAGCTGGTGACTGTGGAGGCCAATTGAGTACAGTGAACTCACTATCATGTTCAAGAAACCAGTCTGGGATGATTCCAACCAACCTGACTAACAAGCTAGTTTCCGTCTTGTCGCCGCAAACCAAGAATACATGCATTTTGTGTTTGAAAACGTAATATTATGTATATTTTATCGACATTGTTCATGTTTGCTGCCTGTATAAAGCATCTGTGTTTTGTGGTCAGTCTGTCTGATGCTATTCTTCTATGCGCAGCTTGATTAAATTGGAGTTACATGATTGATTATTCTAATTAGCCAATCATAGACAAGAAAAATTAACATATTCAGACTTAGACTTTATTATCGCGTTAGGGAAACTAAAATTGCAACAAGGTACCACAACACAGGCGAAGTTCCATGTACACATTACTAAAACATTACCACACAACATCCATACATCAGTATATAGAAACATCCCCCTCCCCCCTGGACTCATTTAATGACCTAATGGCCACCATTATAAAAGAATTTCTGGTTCTCTTTGTCCTGCAAATAGGAACCCTTAAGCGACGTCCCGATGGCAACAGCTGAAATACAGAGTACAGTGGGTGATCTGAATTGCATAGGATACCCTGAGCTCTCCTTAGAACATAATTATGGTAGATTACCATTAGACCAGTCTGGTTAAAACCAATGGTCTTGCCTGCCACCTTCACCAGGCTGCTCAGCCTGTTCTTGCTTGACACACTCAGATTGCCGTACCAAGCTACATTGCAAAAAGATAAAACAGATTCGATAAATTGTTTATAATGTTTATATATTGTTTATACGGTATAAAGTAGTGTCTGCAGATTTAAATAAAATAGTGTAGTAAAACATTGTTAAATAAAATAGTGGAGTAAAAGTACAATCAAAGCACTAACAAAGTACTGAATAATAATATTAATAATTCATCACATGCTTTTTTTGGACACTCAAAGCGCTTTACACATTTTTTGAGTGGGTGGGGGTGGGCGGTGTAGGGGTAAATCCAATCTTCTCATCCACCACCAGTGTGCAGCATTCACCTGGATGGACGGAGCCATATTGCGCAGACTGCTCACCACACGCTAGCTAACTGTTGGAGAGGAAACAAAGTGATGAAGCCAATTATGGGGATGGTTAGGAGGCCATGATGGACTGAAGGCATATTTGGCCAGGATGCCGGGGTCAAACCCCTACTTTTTTTCAAAGGACATCCTGGGATTTTTAACGAACACAGAGAGTTGGGACCTCGGTTAAACGTCTTATCCAAAAGACAGCGCTCACTGAGCAGTATAGAGTCCCCATCAACATACTGGGGTGTTAGGACCCACACAGATTACATGTTGAGCGCCCCCTGCTGGCCTCACTATCACCTCTTCCGGCAGCAATCTAGCTTTCCCACGTGGTCTCCCATCCAGGTACTGACCGGGTGCAGCCCTGCTTAACTTCAATGGGTGACCATGTGAGAGTTGCAGGGAGCTAGCTGCAATAAAAGTACACATTTTTAAACTATTTGTTAAAGTACCATTCCTGAGAAAACCCAGCTGCCACACAACGTCATAAGATGTCTAGTCAGTGTCTAAGGACAACGTTGTTTTGACGTCCAATAATGATATCAAATGACATTGATATTTGGTTGAATTTAAGTTGTGTTGGAACATGACTAAAATCCAACATCTGATAGACGTCATAGTGGTAACGTCCACACAACGTCAAGCTGTAACATCAGTAGAAGTTGAGATTTGGTTGATTTTAGATTGAACACTGGACATTGAGGTCAGCATGAAGGTGGGTTCTGACATCAACCCAATTTTCATTTCTAAACAAAATGCAACGTCCCCATGATGTTGGGGTACAATGTCAATCTGATGTCATGTTTACGTCCTTATGTACAGTAATTTGACTGTAGTTTGTTACTTTACACTAATGAGTAGTACTAATGTATTAATTTTACTTGTCATAGCTGGCCAAGATTGCTGACAGCAAGGATCATGTCTTTCCAGTAAATGACGGCTTTGAAGCTTTACAAGGTGTCATTGATTCGGTGAGTTTTCATCTACATTATTTTGTGATGTTAACTGTTACTTAAATTTAAAACTAATAAAAACATTGTATTAAATAAATAGCATATGATGTTGCATACATTTTTAGTGTTATAGCATAAGTTGAATTAACTTTCCATCAGTTTAACTTGACTTTATTATTTAATTTTTACTTTATGTTTTTTAATATTACATTTTTTTGGTAAATATTATGTACATGTATTTACGTATGTATTATACCATCTTTGCACACAAAAAAAGTAGCACTTATCCGTAGTGTTTCTAATACAGGGCTCTATTTTAGAGTCTAGAGCGCTTGGTGAAAAAGCATTAAGCGCGTGTCTGAATCCACTTTTGCTATTTTGAGGACAGAAAAATATGTTTGCTCCCCGGCGCATGGTCTAACAGGGCTGTGCTTATTCTCTTGATGAGTTATGGGTGTGTTTTGAGAATAACATGCATTAAACCAATCAGAGTCTTATCTCCCATTCCCTTTAAGAGTCAGTTGCATCACCCCATGATGCATTTTACATGGCTGACTTTGTAAGTGGAAATACTGAACGCTTCACTAGCGAGAAAGCAATTAAACAGACCTTCTGCAGCGCAAGGATAAAGAACGAGCCTCCTCCATTCAGCCTCTTTACTTTCTCTTTACTCTTACTCTTTACTTTACTCCTTTACTTTTGTGCATAAGAAAACGGTGTTGAATGCACCCCACTGAAGACATCATTAGCCTACATATTTAATTTTGTTTGATTTGTTTCAACAGTAAATAAACAATAATAATGAAGTGTGTTCAAAAAACTGAGTTATATCCAAACACACGGCCTTTTCTTTTGGCCCATATCCTGACACATAAACCCAAAAGGTGGACAAATCTAAGCTTGTTTTTATTCAGACAAATATAAATATGCATATAATAAATAATACTGCTAATAATTATAACATTATATAAATGCAAATTGTCATGAATAAACTAAAAAAAGCCCCCCGAGATGAAGGCACTGAGGGTTTTTTTTTTATTTATGAAGAAAATAATAATTGTGCAACATTTTAATCATTTTTTTCATTTGTAAATATATTTTGTCACCTTGGAATTATAAGGTTCTATCTGCGTTCTGAATGATTTTGAGATATTGAGCTTCAAAGTTTTTGCATTCCATAGCAAACAGTATGTGTGTAACATTTGTTTTTTTAATAAAAAAGTCTTAAAATGTAAATAACTTATAAAAAACATCCCATAATGTAAATAAGTTAAGTCATTTAATAAGAATATGTCATTAACTCAGTTTTGACAAAAATGTCAGATACAACCTTATAATTCTTGACAAGTTGACAATTTGTGTATTGCTGTACATCCTAGCTTTATTAAGCAATATGCGATTGGACCTGCATAGGCGCGCTCTGCGCTGGCCTTTAGACCTGCTTTTAGCTGGTCAGTTGCGTAGTCTATTTAAGTTTTCAAAATAGCAACACGCCAACAATGCGGCTTAATGCTGTGTTCACACCAGACGCAGAATGCACAGATAAATCGGGTTATTCGCGCGTAAATAGCTGCGTGAACAGCCTCGCTTCATTCGTGAATCAAATCCGCTTCACTCGCGCATCAAATTCACTACAGAACAGAAGCGGATTCACATGATGGGCAGGGCTTCTGTCTGCCCGGTGACTCTAGCTTTGTTGCTAAATGGCTAACATGAATTTTCATGAACACAGCATAACAGCACACCCATGAGTCCACAAAGTAGTGCAAATGGATTTGCTATATAAACAACGTGGCGCAAAACGGGAAAATTAGGATTGTGCTGGTCTGAAAATAGCAACAAATCGCGCCGTGCACGTCTTGCGCCTTATTGTGCCGGATATATGATAGGACCCGCAGCATGTAAATTTGACATTATTCTCTCTTCTGGCTGCCATTATCAGTCTATCACACATTTTTTTGCCTGAAATTCTTGATAACACCATCGTAGAGTTTTTTTTAATATATATTATTTGATCAAATAGGATTGTATATTTGTTGTACTCTCCCATTCACTTCGCTCTAAGTTTACCCGACTATGATGACTTCTACTAATGAGATACCTGGATATGTGAAAAGGGTCTATTACTGTTATTAGCGCTCAAAGCTTGTTGTTAAACTAACGTTTTTGAAAGAGGTTTCTTGTGCTAAACAAGGCTGCCAAAACTTTTATACTGCAAAATATTGTTACAATTTAATATAACTTTAATGGCTGAATAACTAAATTAAAATTAAAATGGTTGACCGTCCACTTGGTGCATCCTGATGCTCTTAAGAAAAGAAATCTCTTAAAAACAAAACAACCAAGTATTAAAGGAAACGCAGGACTGAAGAATAACAAACAAAAGTATTCACTCAGCCCTGTCTGAAGACTGTCTCTGGTATCCGAATTCTCAGAAAGACCTGCGTTGGCCCTCCTAGAGCGCTTTGATCCCACGGACTGCTGGATTCTGACCAAACACGATCAAAGCCTGTGCGTCGTGTCCTTTCTGTTTGCAATGAAAGCTAATGATTTATATTTTTAAGGTGGAAAGAAAAGAGGAGATATTTGGGTAAAGACGGCTCTCGCCCTTGCAAATGTTGACTGTTTCATGGGGTCAGTCCAGCTGGCCGGCATCTGCTGTCAATTAGCTGCATGCTGAAAGCTCTTTGGCTGAAGCTCGAGAGAAAAGTGTCGTAAATCAGCAGGGACCCTGGGATCTGAAAGCGCACTTCCATACATGACGGACGAAAGGCAGTAGACGTGTAGATCAAAACAATCTCACAACACATAGGTGCTGGTGTGCCTGATGAACGCTATTTCTAGGACAAGAGGAAAGCAATGGTGAAAACAGATGGACGTTTCAAAACTAACAAACAAAATAGAAAACACCACATGAGCATCCCTAACCTGATTTCACCAAGTAGGACATGTTCCTGGATCAACGTCTATGGTGGTTCTGGAAAAACATTCCTATTTGCCAATCAGAATTACGGCATATGTTTACCGTTTATGTTAAGTTTAAGCATTTAGGCTTATGTACTCCTACGTATTTTAGTTATTAGTTGTCAACATTGTTAATAATGTATTGTTTTGTTTTAGAGTATGTCAATGTATTTTACACTGTCTGAAGCCAGCACCTACTCAGCAGGCACACGACATCGTGGTATGTTGCATTTTGAGTGGAAATGAAAATGGGCTCATTGTGGAAACGTAGCCCAGCGGACGTTTCTGCGGACCGCGATTTACGTCCCGGGAGGTACGTATTTGAGCGTTTTTTGTTTTCGCGGATCCGCGAGAGGCCGCTGTGCGCGTTTTTTTGCGTCTCGGGCGCCTCTCAGGAGCGCGCGCTGTTCGCACCCGCACCGTTCTCGCGCATAAAGCAGCCGGATCGGCCGACTCGGCCGTCCTCCTCTTCCTCCTCCTCCTCCTTCCCTAAACCCGAGCGACGGTTTGCAAAAGCCGTCCAGAAAAAAAAAAAAACTCGATCGGACTCGATCCCGGTCGTCGTCCTCCTCCTCCGGGGCCTCCGCTCCGCCGACGCAACACTGTGAGCTAAGTGGACAAACTGGTTGCATCGGGAAAGTCCTCCACTTGGAGGCGAGCCGTCGGCCGGCGAGCGCGAAGAGGAGGGGCGGAGCGGCGCCGCACCGCTCCGCAGCGTTCGCTCTAAAAAAACTAAACGCGGCCTTACGTACCTCCGGCCACGTAAATCGCGGTCTCCAGAAACGTCCGCGGGGCTACGTTTCCAGAATGAGCTTGGGTTGGAAAATCGGGTTGACGTCAGAACTCAACATCAGAGTAACGTCAGTGTCCAACATCGGACAGATGTTGCATTTTGATCACTTTCCAACGCAACCTAAAATCAACCAAATATTAACATCTAATGATGTTACAGCTTGGCGCTGTGTGGACGTTACCACTATGACGTCTATCAGATGTTAGATTTTGGTTGCCACACCTGACGAATAAATGTCAGTATTTGACGTCAATATGACGTCGGCTTAGGATGTTGGCTCCACATTAGATTTTGGTCACTTTCCAACGCAACCTAAAAACAACCAAATATCAACGTCACTTAATGTCGTTATTAGACATCAAAATAACACACATTGAAATTTGGTCACCCGACATCACGACCAAAATCTAACCTAATAATAACGCCTTATGACATTGTGTGCCTGCTGGGAAAGCTTTTCTTTTTTATATCGATACTTTAGGGGAAATATATAGATCACACTTTATTTTGATGGTCCGTTTGGGTAACACGGTAACACTTTATAATAACTACACACTATGAATAATTTATTAAGCATTAGCAAATAGTGAATTCATAATCTATTAAGCATTAACTCGACATTATTAAGCGTTAGTAAGCAGTTTATAACTGCAGCTACAAATGCTGCATTCTCGACTTACAACCACATGTAAAATGTGCTTAATAAATGTATTTTCATACTCTGTTAATGATTTATTTTTCATTACAAAATTAAGTATCGCATTATTAACAAACCGTTTGTATTTAAGAGTAGTTGAGGGTTTTCAGGATCATTCAGAATGAGTTGATTAAATGATTAATAAACTATTAAAATCAACGTTTATGACTTATTATTCAGGCTTATATTAATGGTTGCTAAGTATGTTAATAAATGCTTTATTAACTCAACTTCATCTAGTTTTGTGACCTAATCTAAAGTGAGGACTATTTCTGCTTTATAAATCCCTTATCAGCACATATCATAAGCACCTTTAAGAACATGGTATTGAGTGGTGAATGAGTTTCAGTATGTCAGTACTTGTTCACCTGCTGAATTTGACTCTTTATATGTCCATCAGATCTTGAAGAAATCATGCATAGAGATCCTCGCAGCAGAACCATCCAGTATCTGTGCTGGAGGTGAGTACAATATGTAGTAATATACCCATATTGTATAATAATGTATCTAGTTATATACAGTGTTGGGGGTAAAGCATTACAGGTAAAATGAGTTACGTAATAATTTTACTTTTCTAAGTAACAAGTAACGCATTACTTTAAATTAAGTAATGATATTTATGTTAACTTTATAATGGAGTGTTAGCGGAGGTCAGCCAGTGAAGAAATTTGCAGGTGAACCTTACTCCTCTGACCTCAAAAAGTGCCTTAGTGAAAGACGCTATAGAGGTCATGGTCTTTAGCCTCCTTGTTAGAGCAATCAACTCCCATACAACGAACCGCCGGTTCAATCCCAGCTCAGACCAGATTGGTTGCAGCAGGACCGGTGGGTTAAATGTGGGGGCTCGATCCCAGCTCAGCGAGGGTTGGGTGCATTAGGACCAGTGGGTTAAAGAAGTAAAAAAAAAGTTCTGAAAGAGATCAAGCCTCATCAAATGTAAGAAAAAGTTACTCAAAGTAACGTAACGAATGACGTATCATAAAAACTAAAAGTATTGCAACTAGTTACTTTTTTGGGGAGTAACTTAACAATGTAATCCATTACTTTTAAAAGTAACTTTCCCCAACACTGGTGATATACTTGTACATACTCTTGTGTATTAGTATATTTTGTATTATATTTACTGAACTCCTTTATTATTTGTGCTTTTGTCCTGTCACTGTCATTTTGTACACTGTGGATATTTCTGTCACAAAAACTTAATTCTTTTATGTCTAAACATGCCTGGCAGTAAAGCTCTTTCTGATTCTGATACAACTCTTTTTTTTCAAAAACACTGTTAAATTATTATTATTATTATTATTGTTATCTTGATTTACTGTAAATTAATTTTAGAGTTTGTTCCATGATTTAACATTGCTAAATCTAACTTAATCCTTTATAGAGGCATTCCAGGTCGTTGTGAGAGGAAATGGATTTCTTCATGCTAGAAATGTGGACAAGGTCCTTTGCAGTTTCAGAATTAATGAAACCCATACCAGAAGTAAGTGCAATGATGAATTTTATGTAAAATGTACCAATTTTCAGATATTTTTTCATGTAACACAATTTAAATATGGAGTCAATCTAGGGCCATACACAGTATACCTGCAGAATAAAAGAAAGTTTTGCAAACAAAACATAAAATATTGAGAAAAAAAAAAAAAAAAAAAATATATATATATATATATATATATATATATATATATATATATATATATATATATATATATATAATAAATTCAAATCTTCGAAAATCGCAAAGCAAAAATAAATTTTTGAGAAATAAAAATACATTTTGCTAACAAAAATAAACAATTGCAAAGGGAAAATTTAGTTTTGAAAAATAAAAATGAAATTTCCAAACCCAATTTGCAGACCTGCCTCTATATAGGCGACGTCATCACCTGAAGACACAGTGGTGTTACACTGAGGTGGTCTTACAGCCCAGTAGGTCTGGGCCTGCCGCAAACGCCCAAGTTACCTTGACTCCGCCCTCTTGTCAAATCAGGGCCACAAAGTGAAACGCGCAGAAACGTGAAGTGCAAAGTGAAAACAGCATCGCAAACTCACAGATTTATTGTTTTTTTTTTATTTATTTGCAGTTGTGTGGGTGTTTCCCAGTACTGGGTTGCAACTGGAAGGGCATTCGATGCATAAAACATCCCTGCTGAAAAATCCAGCCTAAACCAGCCTAGGCTGGTTGGCTGGTTTTAGCTGGTCAACCATCCTGGTATTAGAGGGGTTCTGTCATTTCCAGCTTGGACTTAGCTGGATTTAGCTGGTCATCTCCCAGCCTGACCAGCCTAGCTAGGCTGGGAGCCCAGCCAAAACCAGCTATATCCAGCTTAAACCAATCTGGTCAAGCTGGTTTTAGCTGGTTTTAGTGGTCATCATTACCCAGCCTGACTAGCTAAGACTAGGCTGTAAATGGCTGGAAACCAGCCTGGAAATGGCCTAAACCCCTCTAAAACCAACCTGGTCGACCAGCTAAAACCAGCCAACCAGCTCAGGCTGGTCTAAGCTGTTTTTTTTTTCAGCAGGGCTATGCTGGAAAAGTTGGCGGTTCATTCCACTGTGGCGACCCCTGATGAATAAAAATCTGAAGGAAAATGAATGAATGTTATGTAAAGTTATCGTATACATGACTGGAACAACATGAGAGCTTTCACTTTTGGGTGGACTGTCTCTTTAAGCTGACAGTGCTGAAATGGTTGCTGAGATACGTCTTGTATTACAGTGAACATGTATGCTAAACACATCAGTGGCTCGATAAAGGCTAATAAAAACGGGATAAACGTTATATGGGATGACAGCAGCCTTACATAAGACATTTCCGCGATTTCCTTGCGTAATGACCATATGGTTGGAATGATTTGAGTTAGAATCTATAAAGCCTTCTGATTAACTATCATTTTTCCACTGAATGGCCCAGAGGGCTAGTTTTCATAGGGAACCCTGCAACGGCCAGGCAAGCCAACTCAAATGCCAGTCTCATTAGCATTTTGGCTAATAGCAGTTTGTAAAGGCTACATTAGAAGTTTTACAGGATGGATTGCTGCCAACTGCAGGAGATATAAGAAAAATGCTGCCACGCAAGAGGCTAACAGCGTTCGCTAAGGATTTTTTTTGCACACTTTACTATTGTAGAACCTGTGGGATTAATTCATTTTTTTAAACATAAAATTAAACATACAGTTAAAGTCTAAATGATTAGCTCAAATATATTTTCCAAATGATGTTTAACAGATATATTTTCAGTATTTCCTAAAATATTCATTCTTATGAAGAAAGTCTTATTTGTTTTATTTTAGCTAGAATAAAAGCATTTCAAATATTTCAAAGGCTCATGACACCCCCTGCTTTCGGTTCAGGTCGACCTCAGAACTTTTTCAAAAGATGCATCATAATGGGCGTGGAGCTCCGCGAGCAAAGAGCAGGTGTGGGCGTGGCCAGCAAAGCAAGGGAGAATGAGCGAACAGCTGTTGTCAGTCGGTTCACAAAATGAGACACAAACCAAAAGGAGACCCATGATTTAATAGTTTACAAAGTTAAAATACAAAGAAATAAACAGTATTTTATGCCCTGCTACATTTGTTATTCGTAATTTCATATACAAATAACCACAATTTATATCATTATAAAGATAAGCGTGTTCATATAAACACTATAAATGAGGACTCCTCCCTCAATCCCCTGGTTTGAATGCAGACTCAGTGCAGCAGGTCTCTTCCCCTGTCTATTTTAACCATTAGCCCTGCTGGTTATCTAGAGGATTAAGGTAAACACAGCAGCGCCGGGAAAAACATGCAACAAACCCAGTGGATCATGGAAACAAACACATACGACCCTTTATGAACAGCTAAATACTGTGTGCTGTAGGTCTGTGTCTCACAGCTTGGCACTGGCACGTCTGTCTTGCCTTCAGAAAGCACGCGCAGTCATGAATAATTAAGAAGCCGGCTCTTCTCATAGGATAAGAAAACTCCGCTATGAATAATAATGAGAAACCAACATGTCATCTTGCAGTTTTGCGCTATGTAGACGACTTCGATCCGCCCCAAAAATCATTTTAAACCCGAAAGCTGAAATTAGCTAACAAAAGCTCAAAATTATAATAATAATAGTAATCTAATAGTAAATGCTGTGAGCCCCCCTATCCCCCTCTATTTTAAAGTGTTTATGGCTATTTTTTTTATGCTGCTATATAATCAGTGGCAAAAATTATCTCAAAAACACATTAGCATTGCTTATTGCATCAATTTCTGACAATATATCACACAATCAAAATTTGTTGTCATGACAGGCGTATTTATAATACATTTTTACATTAGGATACAGAAGGAAAAGTAACTACAGACTCTATCAAATTCGAGATATAATAACAGAATTACCCCCCTTAGCATTGGCAATGGGTTGCAGTACAATCTTATATAATGTTGTGTTTGAAAACACAATTGGTTGGGTTTTGGTTAGTGATTCGCTGGTTGATCTGTATCACAAGCCCTGCCTTCTCATGGATGTGTATGATGCATCTGAAACATACAGCAAAATAAACCCTAAGGCTCAGTCCACATGAACGCTGGCAGGGGTCAACAACCCTGTTCCTGGAGAGCTACCTTCCTGCAGATTTTAGTTGCAACCCTGACCAAAAACACCTGTTTGTAATTATCAAGTGCTGCTTAAGGTACTATTAATTGGTTCAGGTGTGTTTGATCAGGGTTGGGACTGAATTCTGCAGGAAGGTAGCTCTCCTGGAACAGGGTTGGTGACCCCTGCACGCGGGTATTTACAAAACAACAGCTATTCCTATGCCATTTGTCTGCACACAAACACAGTAGCGGGTCACTGAAATTAGCATTTCATTTTCAATTAGCAACATTTTTCCAATCTTCTATTGTCCAATTCTGGTCAGCCTGTGTGAATTGTAGCCTCAGTTTTCTGTCCATAACTGACAGGAGTGGCACCCGGTGTGGTCTTCTGCTGCTGTAGCCCATCCGCCTCAAGGTTGGACGTGTTGTGCGCTCAGAGATGCTCTTCTGCAGACCTCGGTTGCCTTTCGAACCAGTCTGGCCATTCTCCTCTGACCTCTGGCATCAACAATGCACCCACAGAACTGGCGCTCACTGGACATTTTCTCTTTTTCGGACCATTCTCTGTAAACCCTAGAGATGGTTGTGCGTGAAAATCCCAGTAGATCATCAGTTTCTGAAATACTCAGAGCAGCCATGTGATTGGCTGATTAGAAATTTGCGTTAACAAGCAGTTGGACAGGTGTACCTAATAAAGTGGCCGGTTAGTGTAGTTAAAAAAAAATGTTTTTTTGCTTCAATGGTTGGCAAATACATTGCTTTTAATATGTCCCATGATGACTGATATTAATTATTATGGCAGTGGGAAAAAGATGTGCAAGCATTGTAAGTATATTTAACGAAATGTGATGTTAATTACAAGGCAACTTTCGATTTTAAATTACGTCTATTAAAGTGTACTGATGTTGACATTTCGTATGCTTTAATGCTGTAACGATATTAAACTTCACAGAGCGGCTAATTCGCTCCAAACAATCATATTTTCATTCAAATAGGCACTGGTCGTAAGATCAAAGCCCAGTCATCTGCATTCAATCCTAGTTTACAGTACCAGTAATGGGTACCAGCTTTGGTGCTTCACTTGTCCTTTTGCTTGTATTTGCTTTGATTAAAGCCGGACATTTCAAACGCAGCAGCACCCATGCTAATTGCTAGTGTCTGATAGACAGCAGAGCATCCGGTTGATAAGTGTAACTGTGTCATGGAAGCAATCCGAAAACCCATTTCTGTCCACTACTCAGGAAACCAGTTTGACTTTCCCATCCTTAGGGCATGTTTCCAGACTTGCACCACATTTACTCCCAGTGTTGCATAGGACTGGTGTTTATTTATGCTTGACCATTGTAAACACTTCTGTCAGTGAATGATAATGTCCATCATGCATTAACTGTTTTACCTAAAACTGCAAAAATCACATTTAGAGTTTTTGTCTCTCTTTTTTACTCCAAATATTTCAGGATTCTTGATTTAGGAGGGGACTTATTATGCAAAAATCACTTTTAAACGGGGTTTAGACACAGTTGTGTGTCAACAATGTGTGAATATAACCAGCTTCTACTGGTTAGAATGTGTTAATTAAATGTTTTAGAATCACACTTTGATTGACATTCTCTCTTTGTATGAGTCATCATAGGGGGAAAGCCCCGCCCATTAGTGATGATCTCTCCCTCATTAGCATAGACAGCCCATAGACAGCTGTCCGCCTTTAGACTTTTGAATCTGCCACTATACTGACACATAGGCATTTGTAGCTCCGCCCTCTTTTGAAAACAGCACAATCTCATTTGAATTTAAAGGGAAAGTCACCAAAACCGCACGATTTGGATCAAAGCCTAAAAGGGGAGGTTTCTAAGGGTTATAACATTATTTGTGTGGCATTTTAAGCTGAAACGTCACATACACACTCTAGGCCAGTGGTTCTCAAACCAAGTACCACCTCAAAAAATATGGCCTCTACAAGTACCACTTGTTGGCCCTCTATTAATCCGGGGTCGCCACAGCGGAATGAACCGCCAACTTATCCAGCAAGTTTTACGCAGTGGATGCCTTTCCAGTCGCAACCCATCTCTGGGAAACATCCACACACACATTTACACACACTACGGACAATTTAGCCTACCCAATTCACCTGTACCGCATGTCTTTGGACTGTGGGGGAAACCAGAGCAACCGGAGAAAACCCACGCGAAGGCAGAGAGAACATGCAAACTCCACACAGAAACACCAACTGAGCCGAGGTTCGAACCAGCGACCCAGCGACCTTCTTGCTGTGAGGCGACAGCACTACCTACTGCGCCACTGCCAAAATTGTATTCCATACAAAATATGAAGCTGATCAGTCGGTTCTTGTCACGTGACTTGCTGTGTGGCATTCTGAAAAGTTAAAATGTTTTCAACTCGGGGCGCCTGGAATACGTGAGCGTGTCGCGCTGCTTGCACCTTCATTATAAATAACGAACTCGCGTGTAGAAATGACACAATATGTGAACAGCCGCCATCATTTGCGAGCTACAGGAGTTGATATTTTTCTTGACCAGTGGCGATCTGTGGCCACTGCTAATGCGTGTATCCTCTTTCTCTAGTTCTGTGTCAGTTGGATTGATTTTTAGGGTGCAAAGTTCAAGCTGCGGTGCAAAGTTCAAGCTTGGTAAACTCTGACCGCTGAAATCGTATCACTTGACTGCGTGAGACCAATCGAGGATCAAAACATGACCTCTTTGGACAGAAATTTAAAACATGGAGCAATCGGTCGCTCTTTTAAATGTCTAATAAGCTTGTTTAATCCCGCCCCTTTTTGCAGCGCCGCACGACAGAATTTCACATGCTTAAGTGAAGTTTATGTATAAACTAATTTCGAGAGGATCAAGTGCTTATGATTGCTAGCGGCTGGATCCGCATTATCCAATTCACTACGCTGCAATCAGATGACTCCTAAACTACTATAAATACCCTGGGTTTCATTCTACTATCTTCGTTTTGAAGAGTCCTCCCTTCCACCCCTACTCCTCCTTCTTAGATGGGTGACACAGTGGCCCAGTGCGTAGCCCTGTTGCCTCACAGCAAGAATGTCTCTGGTTCCAGGCTTTACCAAACCAGCAGATATTTCTTTGTGGAGTTTGCACTTCTCCCCGTGCTCACGTGGGTTTTCCCCGGGTTCATGCAATTAAGTTAACTGACTAATCCAAATTGGCACCATAGACATGCTCCTAGTATGTAGTTATTGCCAAGAGCAATCACTTACTGTTCATTGGTTACTACAGCAGGGGAGTTCTCAAGATCTTCCTGAGCTCAAACTCCCCTCCTGCCTTGCAACGGGAGGGATCCCTGGGCTCGAGGATCTCATGAGCTCAGGGCTCTCTCCCTGGACAGCATGCCAAACAAGCTTTTATAATTAATAATCAGCTAAGTGTGAACTCTTGAAACTCTAATGTGACTGCCGCTTAATTTCGAGAGGATTGCTTATGACTGACACGGCTGGCCCCGAGTCAAGCTAATGTACCAACCACCAATCAGACGATTCCTAACTCAGTATAAATAACCAAAGCATCTTACCTTTAGTCATCTTCGTCTGGAAGAATCCCCCCTTCCACCCCCTTTCCACCTCTTTTTCCTCTATACACTGCAAAAAATGCTTTTCTTGCATAGATTTTTTGTCTTGTTTCTAGTCTAAATATCTAAAATTTCTTATATCAAGAAGCATTTTCTAGACAAGCAAACATATTGTCTTGTTTTGAGAAATAATATGCCATTTACTAAGTGAGTTTTTCCTTAAAACAAGCAAAATAATCTGCCAATGGGGTAAGCAAATGAATCTTGTTTTTTCTTTTGACGTATGTTTATTCTAACGTGCTCGCATGGGTTTTCCCCGGGTCCTCCGGTTTCCTCACACAGTCCAAAACATGAGACACAAGTAAATTGACTAAACCAAATCAGCACCATAGTCAAATTTCGCCAGCAACAGACCCTCATAACAATCCTTAAGCAGCAGGAGGGGGGAGGGGGGCTCTCGAGATCTACCTGAGCTCAAACTCCCCTCTCGCCCTGCAAACGGGAGGGAGCCCCGAGCTTGAGGATCTCATGAGCTCAGGGCTCTCTCTTGGGACAGCATGCTAAACTAGCTTATTACCAATCATCAGCTAAGTGTGAACACTTGAACTGTGTAACAGATCAGTGTGTGTGTGCTTTATTTCAAAGCCATTTTTCTTATTCAACAGAGAATCAATCAACAAATATTGTAAAATGTGACCCTATGTTTTTCCTCTGTGCTAGTGGTGAAGCCGCTGGTAGTGGAGGACACATACCTGCTATGTCCAGCTCCTGTTCTTCGAGAGGAGGGAACGTAAGTGTCCTAGATGCATTTTGCTTTCTTTTCTATATTCCTAATTGTTAACTGTGAGACATGAGGAACATGTTGTAGAGTAATTTACCCCATTTTGTATATTGCAGGGCAGCTTCCCTTTATGTTAGCATGAACGAAGGCCTGAGTTTTATCTCAAGTTCTGTTACAATCACCACGGTAAAATGTGTAAGTATAATCTCAAATCATCTGTTGTACAGTTAGAATTATAAGTATAAGTCAGAATTATTAGCCCCCTTTGAATTTTTTTCTTTTTTAAATATTTCCCAAGTTATGTTTAACAAAGCAAGGAAATGTTCACAGTATGTCTGATAATAGGTTTTCAACAATCTGAATTTGAATTGTGTTCATTTGAATTATTGGCAATTGTAATTTAATGAATCTGAATTTTTATATGCTGTAAAATTGTTTTGAATTTAAACTACCTTCCTCTGCCATTCATACACTTCTGCAGCTGACATTAGAACAGCAGAAACCATTGCTAATTTACCAACGTCACTTTATAGCTAGTATTTGAATGATTCTGGCCGCGGGAATATTTTCAGTGGGTCGCGGAGTGTGTGGTAAAAAAAAAAAAAAATTTGCTTATACTAGACTTTTATTTTGAAATGCGTGCTCGACAACCCTACTGTTTGACATCTGAAATTTCATTTAATTATAGCAACAAATATGTCGAAGCCCAAGTAGGACCCCGAACATGTAAAGTATGGATATATATATATATATATATATTGACGACATATAAGACTTAAAGCCTTAGTGTCATATGTAGTGAGGTGCTCTCTAAAGAGAACATGAAACCTTCTAAATAAAACAACATTTATAAACCAGAAAACATGTTTAATTAACAGTTCATTATTAACAGTATTTATCAATTTTACTTTGTAATAGTTCTATTATTTGATCCATTTTGTTAAATGACAGCAATAAAAAAGTGTTTATTTGTAAGTCTTGGTGAATTTCTTATGATTTATCCGTCACTACTTGTGTATGTTAACAAATAAATACAAATGAAGTATAATTCCCAAAACTTTATTATAGTTCCCAAAAATTTGGGTCGCGGCTTGATGACCATGTAAAAATTTGGGTCCCATGGCCAAACCAGTTGAGAACCCCTGCTCTAGTGTAATGTCTAAAGTAAAGACAAAACAGCTGATTTGGCTCACATTTTAAGATTATAAGGCAGAACAGCATGAAATGCCATCAGTCTACAGAGATTTCCCAGTATTTCTCTGCTGCAATCGGGAGATCACAATAATTAACCCCAAAAAAGCCAAAGCAATGCAATCACTAATAGATTGCTGTTGTGTTTGCGATAAGGAAAAACGCTAAACACATGCGGGCATTTCTTCTTTCTTTTATTTTACGGAACTAGATTGCAGTAACGAAAACAGGAGAATCATTAGAAACAAACAGATGGCTAACCAAAAAGTAGCTCAAAAAGAGTGGCAAACATAAAATACAAACATTCCCATCATGCACTCAAAACACTACAATTACTATGGTATAAAAACAGCACTGCAACATACAAAAGAGAGAGATCGACTTAGAATGTCACTTACCTTGATTTAAAATGGATTGATCAGTTGTAGTTAGAAATTATGCTGAATTTTCTCCTCTAAAGTCTTATTATGTGGTCTGTCACCATCTTGTGGATGGACAACATCAGCCGTCTTTGCCCTGCTCAGTATAACAGACTAATGCCGACACTCTGTCTCAGAAATTATGAATATTTAAAATAGGCATTATCCTTAAAGATAAGCTGCATAGCTGCAATCTAAAAACTACATTCTCATCTAAAAAGCCTCAACATAAGTACATTATGTTGTCCAACAGCTGCATAATTTGTCAAACGGTAGTGAGTCTATTGATCTGCTGTCACTCTATGTGTGCGGAGTGATACACAAGAGTGCAGAGGCTGTGCGAGTTCTGATATTGCATAAAATTGCACGGCTATCAGCCAATCAGATTCGAGAACCAGACAGAGCTGTTGTATAAATATATATATAGTATAATGTGATGTCATAGTGTACGTTCAATGAAATATATTAAGTGAATTAAATTAATGTTGTGTATTTATTTATTATGTATTTATTTATTTATTTATTTATTTATTTATTTATTTATTTATTTTCAAAAATATACCTGTGCAACATAAGAAGGACAGGGTCCTAAATGTTGATCTGTTCTCCCCACAGTCTGATGGTACAATTCTTGCCATAGCACTGCTGATAGTGATGCTGCTGCTGATTCTGGCTCTGCTGTGGTGGTTCTGGCCGCTGTGCTGCACCGTGGTGAGTCTTCTACCTCATACAAATAGCAACCACTATATATATATATCAATATCACTGCTGACATAAAGTCAATAAAGTCAAACAAAATAGATGGCTAACATTTCGTCTTTAAATCGGACGCTACGGGGCGGTTTGACTTCCTTTTGTTGCTTACAAGCTGACCGCTTATGTCCATGTGGAAGGCTTTCCCAATGTTACCAGTTTGACCAGTGGCTCGCCATGTTCGTCGGCGGACTTGAGACGCGGAGAGTTGTTGACCATGACAACGAGATTTGAGTCTGGTGAAGAACAAAAGTGGATAAGACAAAAACAGAAGCCAAAAAATAAAATAAACAAGTAAATAACAGGGTGAGAATGTTGTAAAATATGAAAATGTGGTAAAACCAAGCGATGACTTTTCTTTTTCTGGATTGCTTTTTAAAATTTTTGGTTAAGTTTAGGTAAGTGGGTGGGCGGGTCAATCTGTGCTTTTGAAAACACTATCGGTTGGGCTTAGGGAAGGAGAAGGGTGGGTCAGTCGATTGGTCAGTCAGTCGACAGCTGCCTCTGGTGGACTTACGTGAGAACAGCAGGCACGAATGTCACTCACAAGAGAAATTTGAGATTTCAAAAAGCATACACAGCAGCCTCCGGTGGATTCGCGAAAACAAAAACGGCAATAAACATACCTCCTGGGACATATTTGGCGCTCTCCAGAAATGTATATAGCGGTACGTTTTCAGAATGAGCATGGGTTGGTTGTTTTAGCTCATTTTAAATAAGTAGTTTGAACAAACAACAAATGTCATTCGCTGTAAACAAAAAAATGCTGGGTTCCACACAATTCCGTCATGTTGTCCCAACACAAATCGATGTGATTTAGTGGATTGAACATAAAACAATTAAGTTGTCATAAGAGCGGTGTCATTTTAACTTATTTTAAATAAGTGGCAAAGGTCATTTATTAAGTGCGTGTGAAAAGCCAACGCAATCTCATGGCAATTCGTAACTTTTTGATTTAGTGGCTAATTCATATGAATTTATTCAGTCTAATTCATACAGTTTAGTACGATTTGCTCATCACCCAATGACGGTTGGGGTTAGGGGTGGGGTTGGGTGCCACGCCTCCTTTTTAAAATCACACATTTTTGTACGACTGAACTCGTACGAATTCGTACCGATTATCTACTAAATTGACAAAACGTAAAATACTTTTCCTCGTAAAATCAGGCTGGAAAAGCAGACAAATATATGATGTGGTCTCCAGGCACCACTGCTTTAAAGGGTATGGGTGCACCTTTATGTTCACTTTTATGACCTACGACCACTGCCCTGAGCTTTCTACCAGATTTATTTGTTTTGACCATGTGATGAGCCTTTCTGTTGCTAATCTAAGCTCCAGTGGGGTTCATGCAGACGGTGTAGGTTTTGTTGCAGTAGTTTTCATGCTCTATTTGTCCTGTGATGACTTGTTAAGCACTGGCTGAGTGTATTAGACGCACGCGGGGTCAAAAGTCACCTGGAATTTGTAGACCGATTGGCCCAGACAACCCTTGGATCTTATGTCACCTCTGAACTCTCAAGGTTAAAAGTTAAAAGCAGTTTTCTTTATTGCGTTTCCTAGAGAGCTGCAGATGTGGGATGTTTTGTTTTTTACACTAAGGAAGGTTTAATATTCAAAATTATGAAGAAAGCGTTGTTTAAATATGGAACGGATTAGGATGGATGATGTGATTAGACATCAAACAACTAATTAGTGCTGATTAGTCTACAACCCCAAATTAGAAACTGTGTGGAAAACGCAAATAAAAGAGAAAGAAGTGATTTCCAATATTACTTTGACTTTAAATATCCCATATTTTGTTTGGTCAACTTCATTTCATTTGTAAATATACATCCTTTCATTTCATTCAGACCTGCAACACATTCCAAAAAAATAGTTGGGACAGGAGCAGTTTAGGGTTAGTAATCAGGTTAATTGGTTGAATAATGACGTGATTTGAAACAGGTGATGTCAACAGGTGATTGTAATTATGATTTGGTACAAAAGCAACATCCAAGAAAGGTCTAGTCCTTTAGGAGAAAAGATGGGCTGAGGATCGCCAGTTTGCCAACAAACACGTTTAAAATGGTGAAAAAGCTGAAGCAAAAGCTAATTGTGTGGGCCAGAGCTGGGCCAAGGAAATTTTGCTATATAGGAACATTCTCTGATTTGAGAATGTCAACCACTGCGCCATATACCAGCCAACCACTGCTCAAACCACTACCAGCCAACCACTGCGCATTGTAAATGTGCTTGATATCATGAAAGTTCAAGTAGCTACCTTATCATTGGCGTAGCGAACTGGCCCGCAGGGCACGCACCACAGGGGGGCGCCCGCATGATTAGGGGGCCCCGCGTCGTCGCGATTTTCAATAATTAAAAGTCTGGCAACTGTAATAATCAAACTCTTGGGAACAACTGTGGTCGGAACTAACGTTCACAGGTCAGTGTTCTCTGAACTCCTCGCAAGCGGTGGACTACTTTATTCCGATTGCTTTCCGCCGAACCGCGTCATAGCTCATTCCATAAAGTTGACTTGATTTCAACTCTCCTCCACGCTCACATCGGAGAAGCAAGCCGCGCTGTTTCTCGCCGCCGGGTCTTATTGAGAATGAATTACTTCTGTCTACTTTGACGCTCTCGCCGCTTTCGGTTTGTGATCGCTCCTCAGTTTGTGAAGGCTTCTCCGCGTTGTCGCTCCACCCCGCCTCCCTTTGATCGCTTCCCCGCGTTACCCCCCCCTCCCAATATCAGTGGGCCCCATCAGTGATCCCTGCAGGGGGGCCTCCGCATTTTGCGCTACGCCACTGTACCTTATTATATCCTGCTAGAAATTTTGCCTGGTTTGCATCTCAAAAATCAGATCATCAAATGAGTTTAAATGAAATTTTTTCCCCATTAATAAGAATTTTATTGACTTTTTAAATTTCGTTTTCATTATTGTCATCATCTATTTTAATAAAAAAAAAATTATGTATTAATGTAATTAAATCTGATTGTTTGGTTGTTAAACTATAGACACAAATGAAATGAAAACACAAGTCTTAGGCCCCATTTACACTGTCAGGTCTTGATGCTCAATTCAGATTTGCGGCCTATAATAATATCTGTTTTTTTTTTTGTCTGTCTGTTTACACGTTGTTTTAATCGTGACCCATATCCAGTTCATGTGTTTACACTTGCCATTTCATTTACGATGTCACGCATGCGTAAAGGCGGGTTTTAGCATCTGTGCCACACTAGCCACGATGGAAGAAATTGTCTTGTTTTTAGCTCTGTGAAATATGCAAAGTATAGTATAAGCAGTGAATGGTTCAGTCCAGATTTACCCCCACGCAGTTAATGTAATGATATAGCCCTGATGTGTGTGTGTGTGTGTATTTGAAGATGCAGCCTTTGCCTGTGTGCGCACTTGTTTTAGAGAGAATAAAGTTGTTTTATGTGTAGCCCGCAGTGGGTGTATTAATAGTGACAAAAAGCTAAAGTTACAACACGAAGTTCGCCCAATTTTAAAATGATTTTGAGGCGGAGGGGAAAAGGCCGTCATCGCAGCTTGCAGCTATGGTTTATATATGGTGTCCTCCACAATTCAGAGGAACTTGTGGGTACGAGAGAAATCTTAGGTCTGGTGGGAGTAAATTGTGGCGACTGACTTCTTTCCTCCTCTGTGTTTCCTCTGTTGTTGTTGTTTACCACGTTGGCGACTCCACACACGCTTTTTCTTCTATGTCATTAAACCGCAGAGAAGCACCACATTGTCGCAAGATTAATAACATATAAAACGCAACGCCTTAATAAATTCGATCTGCCTGTTTACATGACAGTCGCATTGTCACATATCTGATTTATTTCCACATATGAAGTAGGCCTGAAACCGATCTCTGAACATCCGATGCATGCATTTTTGCGTTGTTTACATGGCCATAGAACAGATGCGATTTGTGTCACATATGAGCAAAAAATCCGAATTGGGTCACAAGGACAAGGGTGCAAGCCAAAGCTAAACAACAGGCGGCACTACATCAGAATCCTCATTCATCAATAAGCAATATCACCACAAGGGCTCAAGACTACTTTGGCAAACTTTTGTCAGGTACCACAATACCTAGTTACATCCACAAATGCCAGTTAAAACTATACTGTGCCAAAATGAAGCTATGTTAACAGTGTCCAGAAGCGTTGTCGACTTCTCTGGGCTCTGAGGCATCTGCGATTGGCAAAAAAGCCGAATTGGGTTACATTTAACTGGTAGTGTAAACGGGGCCTTAGATACTATCTTTTAGACATACAAACAGATTAAGCAGACCTTCGTGCTAACTGAAAAATCTTGCGCACACGAGCTTAGGCTTAGACCAGACTTGAGATTTGATCGTAGCCACCGCTCACATCCATACTGATAAATTCGAGTTTCAACGATTTTCTGTCACGTTTGTTTTATAAACGAGGCCCTCAACAGCTTGAAACCCAAAGCCTGGCCTTTGTCTTGATTTCTGAGGGACGTCCAATAATTCAGACTGTCAGTCTAAAGTCTAGTTGAGGAATATCAGAAGAACTAGACATGCCTGGAATTTGTCTGGAAGAGGCACGACTGGAAAAGAGAAGAAATGAGTCACTGACGTGGTGTTAGAGGAGTGTGGAGCTCTGCAGTGAAGTTCATGTTAAGGTTGAAGCAGCTCAAACACCACCCATTTCCATGGAGACCAGCTGTTGGACCGAATTAGCATTAGCTTATTGCTATGTTTAAATAGCTTGGCTTTATTTATTAACATGTGGTTTAGACGTCGAAAAAAACCCCATGTGTGTCGGTCAAGCTCAAACCTGCTAGGCAAAACGCCTGAAGAAATGAATATTTTTACAAGTCTTGAGAACAAAAATGGAAAAAGACTCGTCTGTGTGTACAAGGTAATTCTGTCTGACTGCCACTTAAATCTCTCCGCGATCTTCAAGGGTGCGCGACTCTGTTTGGGAAAGTTATCCTGAGTTACCACGGAAAATAAAAGTGAGATTTGAAACAGCAGAGGAATAGTTGTGTTTTATTGAAATACACTCACCGGCCACTTTATTTTTCTGTCCAACTGGTTGTCAATGCAAATTTCTAATCAGCCAATCACATGGCAGCAACTCAAGGCATTCAGGCATGTAGACATGATTAGGACGATCTGCTGCAGTTCAAACTGAGCAACAGAATGGGGTAGAAAGGTGATTTAATTGACTTTGGAATGATTGTTGGTGCCAGATGGGCTGATCTGAGTATTTCAGATACTGTTGATTTACTGGGAATTTCACGCACAACTATCTCTAGGGTTTACCGTGAATGATCTAAAAAAGAGAAAATATTCAGTGAGTGGCAGTTCTGTGGGCGCAAATACCCTGTTGATGTCGGAGGAGAATGGCCAGACTGGTTCCTGATAGATAGCTGATGGAAAGGCAACTTTAACTCAATCACCCGTTACAACCGAGGTCTGCAGAAGAGCATCTCTGAACACACAACACGTCTAACCTTGAGGCGGATGGGCTACAGCAGCAGAAGACCACACTGTGTGCCACTCCTGTCAGCTAAGAACAGGAAACTGAGGCTACAATTCACACAGGCTCACCAAAACTGGACAATAGAAGATTAAAGAAACGTTGCCTGCTCTGATGATTCTCGATTTCTGCTGTGACATTCTGATGGTTGGGTCAGAATTTGGCGTCAACAACATGAAAGCATGGATCCATCCTGCCTTGTATCAACAGTTCAGGCTGGTGGTGGTGATATAATGGTGTGGGGGAGATTTTCTTGGCACACTTTGAGCCCATCATTACCAACTGAGCACCGTGTCAACGCCACAACCTACCCGAGTATTGTTGCTGACCATGTCCATCCCGTTAAGACCACAGTATACTCATCTTCTGATAGCTACTTTTAGCAGGATAACCCACCATGTCATAAAGCGTGAATCATCTCAGACTGGTTTCTTGAACATGACAATGATTTCACCGTAGTCAAATGGCCTCCACAGTCACCAGAGCTCAATCCAATAGAGCACCTTTGGGATGTGGTGGAATGGGAGATTCGCATCATGGATGTGCAGCCGACAAATCTGCAGCAACTGCGTGTTGCGATCATGTCAATATAAACCCAAATATCTGAGGAATATTTCCAGTACCTTGTTAAATCTGTGCCACGAAGGATTAAGGCATTTCTGAGGGCAAAAAGGGGTCCAACCCCATACTAATGATGTGTACCAAATAAAGTGGCTGGTGAGTGTATATTGATTTCCAAGTAGCCTAATGCTAAATAGCCTAATCCTAAAGCTGGTTTCCAGAATAGGAAACACTGGTTACATGCTAATGCTATGCTAGTTGTTTTTTTCTTTTCTTTTTCTGGCAGTTTCTAAATACTAATTCAGAGATGGATACTTAATGGATGCATTATTTACTCGCCCTCTGGTTGTTCTAAACGTTCGTGAGTTTCATTTTGTTCTATTGAACACAAAAGAAGTGGCGGTGGTTTAGTGAATGATGACAAAACTTTCATATTTTAGGGGACATATCGCTTTAATTATAACAGGATGTGATTGAAATGATTTAGCATAAAATAAAAACGAATCCAAAGATTTCCAGGAAGATTATGAAATAAGATTCCTGTTACAAATAAGACATGGAAGAACAACAGATTATTATTATTATTATTATCATTATTATTATTATTATTATTATTATTATTATTTAATTTTGATTATTGTTATTTTGAGAAGTATATAGGCAAAAGGGTAGCTCATTGATTAGCACTGTCGCCTCACATCAAGAAGGTCACTGGTTTGAGTACCGACTGAATCAGTTTGCTTTTCTGTGTGAGTTTGCATGTTCTCCTTGTGTTCGCGTGGGTTTCCTCCAGGTGCTCCAGTTTCCCCCACAGTCCAAAGATACGCTCTATAGGTGAATTGGATTAACTAAATTGGCCTTAGTGTATGAGTGTGAATGGATGTTTCCCAGTACTGGGTTGCAGCTGAAAGGGACATCCACTGCATAAAACATATGCTGGAATAGTTGGCGGTTCATTACGCTGTGGTGACCCTATAATAAATAAGGCACTAAGCCGAAGGAAAATGAATAAATGCATTAATGAAAAAAGTTAATATAATGTTAAATTCCCTTAAAGAAAACTTACAAGTGTTTTTATTGCAGGTTCAAATAATAATCTGGTAAATAGTGTTGCTTAAAGGTATAGTCTTTTAGACTAAAAAGGTGGCAGGTTTTGTTCTAAGCAGTACTTGCATGAAGAAAACTTTTCTTAGGTATACATACAGGCATAGTTCATCCAAAAGTGAAAATGATCTTATTATTTACTTTCCCTCATGTGGTTTTAAACCCTGCTGAGTTTCTTCTGTTGAACACAAAGGAAGATATTTTAAAGAATGCTGGTTGCTGGCACCCACCGACTTCCAAAGTAGGAAAAAATACTATAGAAGTCAATGGGGGCCAGCAACCACATCATTCTTCAAAATATATTCTTTTGTGTTCAACAGAAGAAACTCAAACAAGTGAAGGGAGAATAAAATATGACAGAATTTTTATTTTTAACTATACTATACTATACTACAAATAACTTCAAGCTTATATAAAGTATGCTTATTTTGTCTATTATTTATTAAGTGTAAAGAGAAAACAAAACAAATTGAATTATTACTACAGTCTGGGACTTTTAATGTCACTATCCTTGACATGTTTTTCATACAATTCCCAGAATTCCAAAGGACTTTCAAAACAACAACATGAGCTCTTTCACAGTTGTTTTGCATTTGAGTGGATAGTAAATCTGCTTCTACATTCTCCAAACAACATTTACCAGTATTTAATCGTATTTTTGTTCATTCAAATTTACGTTTACATCCTTCCAACAATATTTACCAGTATTTAATAGTATTTTTGTTCATCTAAATTTACTTTTACATCCTTCAAACAATATTTACCAGTATTTAATAGTATTTTTGTTTATCTAAATCAACTTTTACATCCTTTAAACAACATTTACCAGTATTTAATAATATTTTTGTTCATCCAAATCCACTTCTACATCCTTTAAACAACTTTTACCAGTATTTAATAGTATTTTTGTTCATCTAAATCTGCTTCTACATCCTTTAAACAACATTTACCAGTATTTAATAGTATTTTTGTTCATCTAAATCTGCTTCTACATCCTTTAAACAACATTTACCAGTATTTAATAGTATGTTTGTTCATCTAAATCTGCTTCTACATCCTTTAAACAACATTTACCAGTGTTTAATAGTATTTTTGTTCATCTAAATCTGCTTCTACATCCTTTAAACAACATTTACCAGTATTTAATAGTATTTTTGTTCATCTAAATCTGCTTCTACATCCTTTAAACAACATTTACCAGCATTTGATAGTTTTAAATATCGAAATATTTGGCTGATAGCTTAGAATAGATGCTAATATTAATATAGCTGGTAGCATGGATCAGAAATCAGGATCACCATGTACTATAGTGTTTAAAGTGTAGTACTAGTGGCTTCTGGACACGTGAATAATGGTTTTGAACTCTCAGAAAGACACATACCTGGAAAAGCTTAATGGTGAGTGCTGTCTTTAAGGGTTTGAATCTGGCTTCCAGGTTTTTAGGTCATACTTTGCTTGTAAACAGACTGAAAATGGAGAGGGGAGGGTTGCAATTCCTTAGCCATGTGTTTTCGCGTAACCTGATTTTCTGGCACGCACTGAAAACATTACTTGGGTCCTTTGACTTGTCAGTGGAAGATAAAAACAAGTTTTTGTGTGTGTGTGTGAGAGCATGTGGTCTTACATGCCAGCATGAGTGGGCTCATGTGAGATTGTTTATCTTTTTATTCTGTCTCTCTCTCTCTCTCTCTCTCTCTCTCTATCTCTCTCTCGCTCTCTCTCTTATGTACGCTGATTAATAATGAACTTGTTTTGATGGTTTGAAAGGATGCTTTTGAAAGTAAAATAGTTTTAACTGTTATCAAATTATAAAAATATAGGTGATCTTAAACTCTCTCTCTTTGCAGATCATCCATGAGCCTCCACCACCCCCAGTGGAAGACAGTTCGGTAAGAACTTTTGTCTTATTTTATGGGTATGTAAAGGTAAACATCATAATCTAATTAAATAACATTTCACATACTGTACATTTGTGTTGCTAAACTTATTTTCAACATGACTGTGATCTGGCTGCTCTGCAAAAATATGGCTTTCTTTCTTGTTTTTGTCTTGTTTCTGTTTCAAATATCTAAGAATTCTTGAATCAAAAAGTATTTTCTAGACAAGCAAAACATATTGTCTTGTTTTAGGAAATAATGTGTCAAAATTAAGTAAGTTTGTCTTTAAAACAAGCAAAATAATCTGCCAAGGACTATCAAAATAATGGCAACCATAGCCTCAATGAACAGACACAAAGAGCCGGATAAGAGAGAATTTAAAATAAAGTCCATCAATTAGCAGCAGTGTTTGCAGTCAGTTGTTTACATTACAGTGAAGTATTTTTTTAGCAAACAGTTTAATATAATCTTTATCGTTACAATATCAGATTAAGCAATAACTTATATAGTTAGCCGGTCATTATCACTTATTGTGATTACAACTGGACAGTACATTCACCAGCCACTTTATTAGGTACACCTGTTCAACTGCTTCTTAACGCAAATTTCTAATCAGCCAATCACATGGCAGCAACTGTCATGATGATCTGCTGCAGTTCAAACCGAGCATCAGAATGGGGAAGAAAGGTGGTATAAGTGACTTTGAGCGTGACATGATTGTTGGTTCCAGATTGGCTGGTCTGAGTATTTCAGAAACTGCTGATCTATTGGGGGTTTCACGCACAACCATCTCCAGGGTTTACAGAGAATGGTCTGAAAAAGACAATATACTCTGTAAGCGGCAGTTCTGTGGGCGCAAATGCCTTGCTGATGCCAGAGGTCAGAGGGGAATGGCCAGACTGGTTCCAGCTGGTAGAAAGGCAACAGTAACTCAAATAACCATTCGTTACAACCAAGGTCTGTAGATGAGCATCTCTGAACACACGTCTAAATTTGTGGGGGATATTTTCCTGGCACTGTTTGGGCCCATTAGTACCAATTGAGCATCATGTCAATGCCACAGCCTACCTGAGTATTGTTGCTGACCATACCCCTCCTTTTGTGACCACAGTGTACTCATCTTCTGATGGCTACTTTCAGCAGGATAACGCACCATGTCTAATCCACACATAAAGTACATATAAAGACAATAAAATGTATAATTAACCTTTGATTATGTTATATCAACTTAACTTTTCCTCAATCTTTATACCGTTTACTAGCAAAGTCCCTTTAAGTCAAGTAATTTCACACGCCGACCATCTTTGAAGCGCCTCTCAATAATATCAGTAACATCGGACATTCTGACTGAAAGAGGAAACATCAATTTCTTCAAAACTGTTTGCCGAGCTTATGATTACATTACGTATTTAAAATCACCAATAGAATTAAACAACAACAACTGTATCTTAAGTTTAGTTTCTAAACGTTCAAATCAAACTATATCTGCATTTTTTCAGGTTGCCCGAGCAAGCTAATGCGCATGCACACTCGAAAGTAACAAGATCACAACACCAACCCCATTAAAACAATATCATCCTCTGAATAATGCTTCGTTAGATCACGCTGCTTTTTCGAAGTAATCCACAACTTGGTCTTGATGTTGAATCTCCTCCAGAAATGACAGCGACTCTGTGTTTACAAGTTTGTGGGAATTTGAGTAGTTGCGGTCATGTGATGACAGCAGGCACGTGCACACATAGGGCTCAACCTGTGCAGTGCACATGCTCTTTTTAGTCTTGGATAGAAAGTGCCCTTCCAAACTGATCAAAAGTGCCCCCGCGACACCCCCCTCCCCCCTACCGCCCTTCAGTAGGCGCGTGACAACACCGCTCTTGAGCACCCACCCCCGCCCCCTGCTTTAAAATACGCGCGCGACTACACCGCTGATCAGAACGTGCGCGACAACACCATTCTTCAGTACGCGCACGACAACATCATTCTGCATATATATGTATGTTAAGCAAGTATGAGATACCAGCGTCTTTGTTGACAACAATAACTAGAAGGTGGGGCTTCATTCGCCATATTGACCTTATTAACTTGTTCGCATTCAAAACTCTACAAGTGACAAATCTAGTGTGTTCTATAATCATTGTTACTAGGGACTTCTTATTTAAAACTAGGCATATGCAGATGTTTTGTTGGCTGTTGTTTTAACCGCTGCACGAAAGTGAATTAGTTCAGTCTGGCTTTATTAAAGACCTGTAATATGAGAGCATATTTTTATAAATCTTTCCCCGGTGATGTCACTTCTGTAAGACCATAGGAATACGTGGAATGGCTGCGGCTTGGGGAATTTTCCCTAAAGTATTCTTTAAGGAACTTTTCAGGATACAAAACATGTGAGGGGGAGTCTGGTGGGTGGTCCGGCTGAAATATAAAGGGAGAGGGACAGCTGTTAACCTTTTTGATTAAGCATGGATGCACTGATGAAAGATGGCTGTTCAGATTGTGAGGGCTGATTGTTAAACGGGGTTAAATTTCCTTTAGCTGGAAAAATAAAGTCATAACTGGAGCGAGCCAAGTTGGACTTCTTTTATTGGACCAGGAAGAGCAAGTGAGGGCGTAATAAGCGTGGCTCGTGCCTTTCGGAGAGAGGCAATAAATGAAAAAGTCATGTTTTAAAAGAGTGAGTCACACCTCATTTAGGAAAACGCTCTGCCATTTGAATAAGACCCCAAAAAATATGCTCTTAGAACAAACAAACAAAACTTTTAACAATAGGGTTTTGTTTGTTTTAGCAAGACGTGTAGAGAACATCTCAATGTAGAGATTTAAGATGGTAGTAAACCACCATGTCTTGAAATGCGTTGTATTTTTTCATCTTGTGTGATTTGTAGATGAACTTCAACAACGAGGATGTTGACATTTGCGTATTATAGTTTTTTTTAGTAGTTGTGTGCTAAAAAAAAAAAAAAAAAAATGTTTCTGTGCTCTCTGGAAAATGCTTGGTTGATGTAACCCAGCTTCGGATTCTGACAAACCAGCCTGATCTCACGAGAAAACGTAAGTATTTTACGTTTTAGCAGTTTAGTGGCTAATTCGTACAAATTCGTATGAGTTTAGTCGTACGAAATTGTACGATTTTAAAAAGGAGGCGTAGCAACTAACCCCACACCTAAACCCAACCGTCATTGGGGGATGAGCAAATCGTACTAAAAAGTACAAATAAGATCGTACGAATCTGTACGAATAAGCCACTAAATGAAAAAGTTACGAATTGCCGTGAGATTGTGTTGGACAAACCCAATATCGTATACGACTCTTGCGCCGAGCTGAAACTAGCAAACAACAACTGCATCGCGCCTTGCCGCCACATTGCGCCAGGTGTATGATAGGGCCCTTAATGTGTTTGGTTGTTAAATTAAAAATGTTTATTATTTATAAACTGATATAGGCCTACAGAATCATTTTAGAGTGTTTGAGCATGAATGGTAGCTCTCGATGTTCATTTCAAGAGTTCACACTTAGCTGATGATTGATTATAAGCAAGTTTGGCATTCTGTCCCAGGAGAGAGCCCTGAGCTCGAAGGTTCTTGAGCCCTGGGCTCCCTCCCGTTTGGAGGAAGAGAGGGGAGCCTCGAGCTTAGGTAGATTTCGACAACTCCCCTTTTTATAATAGCTAAAGATTAAGATTGAATGCTATTAAAAGATATGCTGCATTATCAGATTACCTGTATTAAAATTTAGATTTAACGATTAACTTGTTGTGCATGTTTTTGGAATGTGGGAGGAAACCGGAGAACCCGGGGAAAACCCACGCAAGCACGGGAAGAACATGCAAACTACACACAGAAACAACCACCGGCCTGTTAAGGAACTAGAACCGGTGACGTTCTTGCTGTGAGGCGACAGTGCTAGTCACTGAGCCACCGTGCTGCCCTATGGAGGGAAAGATGAAAAGGTAGGGGTGGAAGGGGGGATTCTTCAAATCGAAGATGACTGTAGTGAAAAAAACCCTGGCTCTTTATAGTGGTTAGGAATGGCCTGATTGGTGGATCAAGCATGCTAATGCAGAACCAGCCGTGTTCAATCATAATCACGTGCTCCTCTCGAAATTAGTTTATGAATAAACTTCACATAAAAGCAGCAAAACCACATGCTGAACGCTGAGTGTGTCAAGATGATGACACTTGCTGACTCTTTGAGCTTTGTTGTTTACATCAAACATTAGAATGTAAGCTGTGAGGTATAGTTACCAGCGTGAAACTAAAACAGGAAGTATGGATACTTTTTACTTAAGTACATGTTTGAGGCTGTACTTCTTTATTTTAACTTGAGCAAAAAAGTGTAATCAGTACTTCAACTTTTAAAACACACGTGTCTGTATTTCTACTTAAGTAAAGGATTTGTGTACTTTTGACAGAGACAGGTTATGACGTATTTGATTATCAAATCTTAAACAATGTCACCATTTAAGATGACATAACTGACCCAACGACACTACACTTAGGCCCCATTTACACTCGTGCATTTTAGTTTTAAAACGGCGTTTTAGATCAAAAACGATCCGCGTCCACACTAGCGTTTCACCTAGCGTTTCTAAACATATCTCCGTCCACACTACGCCACCAAAAACATGTCACGTGACCAATTGCGCACTCTGGCCATGCGCTTTCTAGTATAAACAGAAAGCATGAGTCTCGCTCGGCATTTGGTTATTGTTAGTCAACAAACGCCGGTTGAACAATAAACACGATGGCAGAGAAAGCAAGAGAGGTATTTTTGTGGACAGACGACGAGGTCGAGTTGTTACTAAACGTAACAAATGAATAACTGCACAATGGCGCCTAAAACAGACAATAGTGCAAACAACGCTCCCATTTCTGTGCTCATGTTGTTGTTTACAGTACTGTCTTCCGGTAGCGTTAAAGCCATGTGATAGGGACTTGACGAATAAGGGAAGTATACACATTGACACAAAAGCCCCAATCAGGTAGCGAATCTCAGCAGTCCCGCCTCCGTTTTCAGATGTCTCCGTTTTTCCTCATCCACACTAAAACAGAGCAGCAGTGTTTTAGAATGAAAACGGCCTCTTCAGCGTTTCCAAAACTCTTCATTTTCGGCGCTCGAGAACTAGTAGTGTGGACGGATGGCGTAACCATAGCAAAACGTATGCGTTTTAACACGAAAACGCATTAGTGTAAACGGGGCCTTAAATGACATTAAGGCATGCATAAAATCTCAATGTCATGACTATAAAGGTTTAATGACTGTCTTATGAACATCCCTTTACCCACTTTTCAATCCTACAATTAGGTTTGTCCATATTTGACCAAATGTTTGGTTATGACAATCCAGCACTTTTTAGAGTGTGAATAGTTCTATTTAGAGTACTGTAGGTCACATTTTCATTGTCTTGTTTTTCATAATAAGGATGACGAAGAGGATGGAAGTCCTAAGAAGAAGTGGCCCACGGTGGACGCGTCCTACTATGGAGGAAGAGGAGTTGGTGGCATTAAAAGGATGGAGGTAAACAAGTTTTATCACTCGCTGTGGGACAAGCTCAGTCTCTCAACAGATGCTTTCATCCAGAAGAAGAGGGCCGTGTCTCTTGGGGAACCTGGGGTTAAGTGTCTTTCTTAAGGATGATGAATTCTGTCAGTAAATTTCCAGTTGACAGTCTGCCCCTGCTTACAATGAAACCATTGTTGTGTACATTACTTGCCAAGAGACTTCATCGCATTGTAATTGCACTCAACAATGTTGCTAAAAGCGATAAAATAGGCCACAACTGATGAAAAACAGAAATTGGGTTGTCAAATGCAAGTATGCTTTAAAATACTGTACTCCATGCCTACAGAAGGCTTCGTCAACAACACCAGACATAAGCATGACAAAAAAGTGTTCAAACCAACCTGTTGTTGGCTTGTTGACCAATTGATAACCAGCTGGACGAGGCTGGTTTTCCCAAACCATTTCCCAAACAACGAGATAACTCATGACTTAACTATCATAGTCTATCATAGTTAACTATCATGATGCATCACTTGGGAAAAGAACAATGTAGTAACGAGTGTTTCCCAAAACCGTAGTTGCTCTGTTGCAGATCCATTTGAACCACGTTAGTTATGACGTAAAACATCTATAATGACGCTCTAAACGAGGTGAAGACACAACTTCTTTAAAGAAAAACCCCAAAATGTTTTTGTGCAAATTATATTGTTTTACACGCACATACATTTTTTTAAAATTCAGTGTTAGTTTTGGAAAAAACATGCACTCGGTTTCCATATTAGTTGAATTATATGTAAACAGCACATATAGTTTCCTTTGCGGATGTTCATTGGAACGATGCATTTGGGAAACACTAAATCAACAAACTATGTTTGTAAAAACAAAACTTGCAACCTTAGTTGGCTAACAATGGTTTATTTAGTCATCCAGGGGTGCGTTTCCAAAAATCATTGTTAGATAAACTAAGGTCGAAAGTTCTGTCATTACAAACATAATTTGTTGATTTGGCACTTCCCAGATGCATCGTTCCATTAAACATTCGCAAACTGCATCGCAAACTTGATTGTTTGTTTTCGAAAACCATTGTTAGCCAACTAAGGTTGTAAGTTCTGTCGTTACAAACATAGTTTGTTGATTTTGGTGTTTCCAAAATCCATTGTTCCATTGAACATTCACAAACTTTGTTGCAAACTTGTGTGTTTGTTTTCGAAAAACCATTGTTAGCCAAATAAGGTCGCAAGTCCCTTCATTGCAAACATAGTTCTTTGATTTTGGTGTTTGCCAAATCCATCATTCCAATTAACATTCGCAAACTGCATCACAAACTTGTACGTTTGTTTCCGAAAACCATTGTTAGCCACATAAGGTCGCAAGTTTTGTCGTTACAAACATAGTTAGTTGATTTGGTGTTTTTCAAATCCACTGTCCCAACAAACATTCTCTAACTTTGTCTCCAACTTGTGCGTTTGTTTTTGAAAACCATTGTTAGCCAACTAAGGTCACTAATTCCATCGTTACAAACATAGTTTGTTGATTTGGTGTTTCCTAAATCCATCATTCCAATGAACATTCGCAAACTGCATCGCAAACTTGTATGTTTGTTTTTGACAACCACCGTCTCTGATTAAACTTTTTTATTTCGCCATTAAAAAGGCTATCAGTAAAGTACCAGAGTTTGCGATCGCAAGAAAGGCAGTTTACGTTTGAGCTAAACAAGTGTGCTAAACAAGTGTCAATCAAATCTGATAGTATTTTCTATTGGATTTAAGTCAGGTGATTGGCTGGGCCATTCTACACCTTGATTTTCTTTCTCTGAAAGCATGTGAGAGTTTCCTTGGCTGTGTTTTGGATCATTGACTTGCTGAAAAGTGCACTCTGGTTTCATCTTGATCCTCCTGCTAATGTAAATGTTGGACTGAAGCAGCTAATATTCCTTTATGATGAGGAAGGGCAGATGGTTGCTGAAGAACTACTAAGAGATTTCACCTGCTGTCTGGGCTTTCATTGTCTTTCTACACCTCCCTTTCTTCATGTGTTCAATACTTTTTCCTTGCGTTATGTCATTTTATTACACGGAACTTCATTTGTAAACTAATTAGTTTTGTTGTCTTTTTAATAATGAGTTTATTTGATTGTTACCAACACATCCTTGTCTCTGATTAAAAGCAATGCACATTATCTAAACCTATCAACATCCATCATCCTGAAATTTTTATTGTAATCTCATAACATGTTGGATAATATTTCAGGTTCGTTGGGGTGAGAGGGGTTCAACCGAGGAGGGCGCTAAACTGGAAAAGGCGAAGAACGCGAGGGTGAAAATGCCAGAGCAAGAGTTTGAAGTTCCTCCTGCTCGCATCTTAAATAATGGCATGAGGAAACCGCCAGGCCCTCGAAAATGGTACTCGCCCATAAAGGTGAGAACAATACTGTTTTTAAAGGTGTTATAAAAACATTGTATATTCAGTCAGTGTCTTTTAAAGAAAGCTGGAAATCTGTAGCCACTGATCATAAAACCATTAGCTATAAACCTTGACATGATGTTTCTATATGTAAATTACCTTCATCGTGATCCTTCAGTGCTAGATTTTTAAAAGTATGTGATGTTTGCTCCATAAAATCACTTCCTGAGCTTGTTTCTGAGGTGCCATATAATGCGTTACATTGCGTTACATGCAATACAGCATGTTTAAATTGTTCTCTGATACTCTACATAGAATGTATGTGGCTTAAGTAAGTCAAACAAATCTCTAGAAAATGGTTTTACAGGTCCATTCTCAGCCTCAGATATTAGCAGGAAGGTTATTTCAGACTTTAGGAGTCATATATGAAAGCGCTCGACCTCCTTTAGTGGACTTTTCTCCTCTGGTACTTTCAGAAGCTTTAAGTTTTCAGATCTTAAAGAGCATTGTAGCAAGAGATTGTAGCGAGACAAAATGTTGGTTAGACAAACAGGAGCTAGACTATTTAATGCCTTATAGAAAGAAGAAAAATTTTATAATCAATACGGAATTTAACAAGCAGTCCTTGACCATTCAATCTCAGAAGACAAAGACGAAATCAATGAACAGTCATAACTGGCTTATGAAGGTGCCAGACCTGCTCTTTTGGGCCACAGCTGCTCAAGACTTTGGAAGTGGTGTTAGTAAGGCCAGCAGGGGGTGCTCAATCTGCGGTCTGTGTGAGTCCTAATGCCCCAGTATAGTGAAAGGGACACTATACTGTCAGTGAGTGTCTTCTTTTAGATGAAATGTTAAACCAAGGCCCTGACTAAGTCCTGGATTAGTAAATGTGGCGTTTCATCCATAAAATCACTTCTTGAGAAAACTACTGTGGTGCCATTGAATGCGTTGATACAGCATGTTTAAATTGTTCTCTGATTCTCTAGATAAAATATATGTGGCTTAAATAAGTAAATTGAATTTCTAGAAATGGTTTTACAGGTCCATTCTCAGCCTCAGATATTAGCAGGAAGGTTATTCCAGACTTTAGGAGCCATATATGAAAGCGCTCGACCTCCTTTAGTGGACATTTCTATTCTGGGTACTTTCAGAGGCCTTAAGTTTTCAGATCTTAAAGAGCGGTTTGGATTGTAGCGAAACAAAATGTTGGTTAGACAAACAGGAGCTAGACTATTTAAAGCCTTATAGAAAGAATCAATATTTAATAATCATTACGGAATTAAACAGGCAGTCCTTGACCATTCAGAGTGAAGGTTTTTGCCCTTTGTCAATGTTGCTCAAGTTTCTTCTCCTGCATCCAACACACTGATTACAAGAGCTCAAGTTTGCTTACCATCTAGACTTCCCAGATCTTAATATATGGCTTTGTTAAGAGATAATCTAAAGTATTCGCTTCACCTCAGATTGGTCTTTGTGCTTTGTCTCTCCTGATATTTTGTTTGTTTTCCATTAAATCCAAGGCTATAAATGAGATTAATTTTGCTGACAGTCATACATGAGCAGCCTCCCACCATGCAGTTCTTCTGCTGAATTAATATGTCTAAAAACATGACTCGAGATGTCAATCCTTGAAATCGGTCGCTCATGAATCATAGCTTGGGGATTTGAAATATACACCAGAAACTGTTGCGACATCCAGGAAACTGGGCCTGTGGAGTCAGCATTTTATTACACTGAAAACCAGGTTTCCCTCAATTCACCTCTCTCAAAGCCTGCCGTCCAAGAGCTCTGAATCCTGCCAATGTTTTTTCTCCCCCTGCTTTGTGTATCTTCCTTTTTATTTCGTTTTTATTTATTTATCTCTCGACCTCATGTGTTTATTTGTTATTTAAGTACATACTTTACATGTAAGTGTTATTATCTGTTCACTGATTAATCTTCCATTCCACCTCTTACTTTGGCAAAAACAGTCACTGTTGCGCAATAAGGATGTTTTGTCGAAGCTGAGAGTCATTAGAAAGCTGATATTAATAACCATAGGGCAGATTAAACTGTGGCTTTCAGCTTGATCCATTATTTTGACAATAAGCCAGAATGTTAACATGATTTTAAGTTCATAAATCTCTTTGTAAATATTACCTATTTTCCAGATTTGAATGATTTATTAGTATGAGGAACACATTTTTAAGATGTAAAGGGCAACAGCTATGTTTCCATCCAAAGGTGCGAATTAAAATGATGAAATGATAAAAAAATTAAATAAAGAAAATAAAAGATTTTATATGCTCCATAAAATCCCCTCCTGAGAAGCTTGTTTCTGAGGTGCCATAGAATGCGTTCATACAGCATGTTTAAATTCTTCTCTGATTCTCTACATAGAATGTATGTGGCTTAAGTAAGTAAAACGAATATCTAGAAATGGTTTTACAGGTCCATTCTCAGCCTCAGATATTAGCAGGAAGGTTATTCCAGACGTCAGGAGCCATATATGAAAGCAGTTGACCTCCTTTAGTGGACTTTTCTACTCGGGGAACTTTCAAAAGCCTTAAGTTTTCACATCTTAAAAAGTAATTTGAATTGTGGCGAGACAAAATTGTTGGTTAAACAAACATGAGCTAGACTATTTAAAGCCTTATAGAAAGAAGCAATATTTTATAGTCAATATGGAATTTAACAGGCAGTCCTTGACCATTCAGTCTCAGAAGAAAATGAGGAAATCAATGAATTGTCATAACTGGCTTATGAAGGTGCCAGACCTGCTCTTTTAAGGCCAAAGCTGCTCAAGACTTTGGAAGTGGTGTTAGTAAGGCCAGCAGGGGGTGCTCAATCTGCTGTCTGTGTGAGTCCAAATGCCCCAGTATAGTGAAAGGGACACTGTACTGTCAGTGAGTGTCTTCTTTCGGATGAGATGTTAAACCAAGGTCCTGCCTAAGTGCTGGATTCTTAAATGTGGCGTTTGCTCTATAAAATCACTTCCTGAGAAAACTTGTTTCTGAGGTGCCATAGAATGCGTTAATACAGCATGTTTAAATTGTTCTCTGATTCTCTGCATGTAATGCATGTGGCTTAAGTAAGTAAAACGAATATCTAGAAATGGTTTTACAGGTCCATTCTTAGCCTCAGATATTAGCAGGAAGGTTATTCCAGACTTTAGGAGCCATATATGAAAGCGCTCGACCTCCTTTAGTAGGCTTTTCTACTCTGGGTACTTTCAGAAGCCTTAAGTTTTCAGATCTTAAAAAGCAGTTTGAATTGTGTTGAGACAAAATGTTAGTTAGACAAACAGGAGCTAGATTATTTAAAGCCTTATAGAAAGAAGCAATATTTTAAAATCAATATGGAATTTAACAGGCAGTCCTTGACCATTCAGTCTCAGAAGACAAAGACGAAACCAATGAACAGTCATAACTGAAGGTGTGAAACCTGCTCTTTTAGGCCACAGCCGCTCAAGACTTTGGAAGTGGTGTTAGTAAGACCAGCAGGGGGTGCTCAATCTTTGGTCTGTGTGAGTCCTAATGCCCCAGTATAGTGAAGAGGACTTATATGTCAGTGAGCGCCGTCTTTCGGATGAGATGTTAAACCAAGCTCCTGACTATCTGTGGTCATTAAAACCCTCATGGCACAAATTCCCACCATTGGCCCTTACCCATCATGGCCTACCAATTATCTCCATCCACTGAATTAGCTCTATCACACCTATAGCTGGTGTGTGGTGACCACACTGGCGCCATTGTCCTGTGGCTGCCGTCGCATCATCCAAATGGATGCTGCACACTGGTGGTGGTGTAGAGAGAACTCCCTCACTGTGAAGCACTTTGGGGCCATACATAATATATGTGCTATATTACATTACACATTGCATTGCATTACAATACATTACAAGACGGTTCTGGGAGGTAATAACAAAATCCAACATTTTTTAAAAACGTATTGTCAAGCTTATTAAATTTCATATTTGGATGCACCAGTGAAATTTAACAACTGACTCCTAAACTTAGAATCAAACAAATACTGCATTTTATCAGGTTGCCTAAGCTAATGCTCAATAGTTTATACTCATTTTTTCATAATGGATACAAATTTTACCTTACTCAGGATACTTACTACTCAGGATTTCCATTGACCACTTTTTAATGCCAAAAGTAGTCAAAAATACGCATAGAAATAGGTGGATGGAAACTTTGTGTTGATGGGGAGTTTAGTTTTCTTTTTTTAGTAGTGATTTTAATGTGTTTACATGTGTTTGATGTGCAGGGAAAACTAGATGCATTGTGGGTACTTCTGAAGAAAGGATACGATCGGGTGTCCATCATGCGACCACAACCAGGAGACAAGGTAAAACTGTTTATTGTTTTAACAGATTCGTTACATTTACAGGTTTTATCAGACTTAAAGCAGCGCTGCATTTTGGTACGAACTGATTAATGGATTGTGCTGCTTGCTATTCGATCAAGTACAGCTGTTTTATTCTGCTCTTGGCATTTGAAATGGGAAAAAAATGCCGTTAATTAACACACCCTCAGACCATGCGAGATTTTCATCCTCAGTAGAATCTTAAAGAAGGTTTTTAGCTATAACAACTTTTAACAGAGTCAAAACTTATACAGTACAAGTGATATATATATATATATATATATATATATATATATCTTTTGTAATGTATAAGTTTTGACTTTGTTAAATGTTTTCTTTATTGGCATTGATTGTTTTGAAATTTAAATGTCATTGACATGCCTGTGTTTTAATTTCTGTAATAAATATGGCTGTCAAGCCAGGATCTTGATGGTTTATTGTGGGTTTGTTGTTTACATGAAGAAATCTGTGTTACAAGTTAAACAAAAATTCTATTAAACAATTATATTTAGAATTTTAATTCTAATAAACAATCATATTTTTAATTTAAATAGTTCTTGTCTTGCGTTTCCATTAATTTTACATTTGAATAGCCAAAATTACAAGTTTCAGTATTTTAAATGCGATTAATCGCGATAATTTTTTTTAAAAAGGTGCGATTAATTAGTTAATTTTTTTTAATCGATTGACAGCACTAATATATATATATATATATACATACATACAGTTAAAGTCAGAATTATTAGCCCCCTTTTGATTTTTTTTCTTTTTTAAATATTTCCCAAATTATGTTAGACAGAGCAAGGAAATTTTCACAGTATGTCTGATAATATTTTTTCTTCTAGAAAAAGTCTTATTTGTTTTATTTCGGCAAGAATAAAAGCAGTTTTGAATTTTTTAAAAACTATTTTTGGGACAAAATTATTAGTCCTTTAAGCTATTATTTTTTTTTTTTGGTAGTGTACAGAACAAACCATCATTATAGAATAACTTGCCTAATTACACTAACCTGCCTAGTTCACCTTATTAACCTAGTTAAGCCTTTAAATGTCACTTTAAGCTGTATAGAAGTGTCTTGAAAAATATCAATTAAAATATTATTTACTGTCATCATGGCAAAGATAAAATAAATCAGTTATTAGAAATAGGTTTTTAAAACTATTATGCTTAGAAATGTGCTGAAACAATCTTTAATTTCTTTTTTAAAAAAGGCAATTGTTTTGAAATCTCCATCAGCGCCCACTCAAGAACCCTGAAACTTAAAAACAATCTTAACAGACTCTACTTCATCCACTTTTAACAGTACGACTTCTAAATCTCTATTATAACTGTCAGTTAATTCAATATGACTTGGCTTCAATGAAGTGATGAAAAGCAGAAATGAAAAGACGAATACAGGACTATTCTACAGCTTGACAGGAAATGGAAACCAGACTCAGACAATGATGGAGTATTACAGAGGGGAATAAAATAGATTTTAAATGCGAGTCATTGGTTCAAATCCCGGCTGGGCCAGTTGACATTTCTGTGTGGAGTTTGCATGTTCTCCTTGTGTTTGTGTGGGTTTCCTCCGAGTGTTCCGGTTTTCCCCACAGTCCAAAGACATGCTGCACAAGTAAATTGGGTTAACAAAATTGGTTTTAGTGTATCAGTGTGTGTGAATGAGTGTGTATGGGTGTTTCCCAGTAATGGGTTGCAGCTGGAAGGGCATCTGCTATGTAAAATATATGCTGGAATAGATAAATAAGGGACTAAGTCGAAGGAAAATGAATAAATGAATGAATTCTAGGGTTAAAAAAAGTAAATATTGAGAAAATTGCCATTGAAGTTTTGTAAATTCAGTTCTTAATGCATTTTACTAATCAAAATGTCTTAATACAACATGATTTTTACATAAAATCCTAATGATTTAAAAAAAAAAAAAAGAAAAATCATTTTGACTGAATGAATTGTAAGCTGTTTCCACAAATATAGCCATGAAATTGAAGAATTTTTAGTTTGAAGGCTTTGCGATCCAGGTTCACATTTATACAACACTATCCGTTTTCTTATTCAAACTTTTTGCATTATGTTAAAGAGACTTGAAGTATTATATTTATTAATAATAATTATTTGTATACCAGATATTGTTGTCTATGCTTACTTTGCAGAAAAAAATTCCTTGAGTTTCTGTCAAATCTTCAATCCCGGACGAGCCCCCAAAAATGTTACATCACAAATGTGAAACAAATAATAAGGCTTGATGCTTCAAGCTTAAGTAGCTCAATCACATACTGTAAAACATCTGTAAAATAGCAGTTTTACACATTTTTTATTTAAGCTGCGGTCACACTAGAGTTTGTGTGTGCGAAATTCTATCGTGCGGAGCTGCGAAAAGGGGCGGGATTAGACAAGATGGTTAGACATTAAAAAAGCGAGCTATTGCTTAATGTTTTAGATTTCTGTCCAGAGATGTCATGTTTTGATCCTCGATTGGTCTCACGCAGTCAAATGATGCGATTTCGCAGGTCAGAGTTCACCAAGCTTGAACTTTGCACCGCAGCATCCTGCGAAACTGGACGCATGACCCTGCGTTTCGGTTCTGACGCATTCGCTTGCGTATGAATGGAAGTCTATGTGAGGAAAAGCTCAGTGTGGTTTCATGGGTTTATTTATGCATTTGAGTTGCATTGTGGGAGCTTGCTCTTTCTTTCAACAACTTTAAAACTTGGAAAGTTTGAAAGTGACTTTTATCAACATTTTTAATTGTTTAAAGTGACATTATCTGGGTTTGTGTTGTATATTACAGTACAATAACCTTATAATAAGCTGCCAGTACAATTTTTGTTATTTTATTACAGACTTATTTCTCTCTATATTATTTCTTATACGTTATATTACTTCAAATTACTAAAATGACAATAAAATTGACTTTTTTATACTGTAGTCAAATTTTCAACATCAAAAGTCGACATGAGCAGAGATTAACATCCCATAATGCAATTATGTAAATAAACATCATTTGTTTTCCCAAAATATATAGCGAAAACACTTGCGAATCACAAAATATAGAAACTGTTAATTAACAAGACCACATATATTTCTGTTCAGTTTAGTTTTAAAGCGTGTTTCGGTGTTTGTTTTGGATTTTCTGTTGTATAAGAACATAAATCTCCTTTTGTCGGATAGACTCGCATGATTTGGTAAAGCATGAGGGTTTAATAAATGATGATTATGGACTATCCAAAGTGTGCTTATTTTCATTTAGTAATGTTTATCCAAACAAGATCAACATTGCCGAAAAATGATCACTAGTGTTAACAACAACAAATGCTGCAGGACTTGGCTTTATCCCTGTAGTGTGTATCAGTTCGTGCTTCTTTTAAACCATTTTTAAATCCTCGCCTGAACAAAGAACAACAACAGACCGAGAGTATAAGTCCACCTGCGCTTGCAGGCTCTCCTGGACCAGGAAAATAAACAGAGGAAATGTATATGTGACCCTGGATGATGTTGAACAGATATAAATTTTTGCAATAGCCAAAAATACACAGTATGAGTCAAAACGAACGATTTTCCTTTTATGCCCAAAATCATTACTATTAAGTAAAGATAATGTTGCAAAGTCCAAAGCGCAGGGCGCAAAAGCATTAAGGGCGTGTCAGAATCCACTTTTGCTATTTTAAGGACGGAAAAATCCGCTTTGCGTCGTGGCGCATGGTCTAACAGGGTTGAGCTTATTCTCTTAAAGAGTTATATGTGTGTTTTGATAGCCCAATCAGAGTCTCATCTCACATTCCCTTTAAGAGCCAGTTCTGTCACGCCATGGAGCATTTGCTATTTACATGGCGGACTTTGTAAGTGGAAAAACTGTGTGCTTCACTAACGAAAAAACTGTTAAACAGAGCATCTGCAATGAGAGAATGAGCCTCCTCATTCTTTACTTTCACTTTTACTCTGATGGATAGGGAAATGTGTTGTACGCACAGACATCTATTAGCCTTTACATAATTAATTTAGTTTGTTAAGCGCAAAGATTTGTTTCAAAACTATTTTGAAATTTAGTTCTTTGTATAAGTATTAGTATAAGTCCACCTGTGCTTGCAGGCTCTCCTGGACCAGGAAAATAAACAGAGGAAATGTATATGTGACGCTGGATGATGTTGAACAGATATAAATTTTTGCAATAACCAAAAATACACAGTATCAGTCAAAATGATCGATTTTCCTTTTATGCCCCAAAATCATTAGACTATTAAGTAAAGATAATGTTGCAATTGTAGTTAATTTCCTACTGTAAATATTTGAAATTCCCAAATTCATTGACTTCCATAGTATTTTTAGTTCCTACTATGGATGTCAACTTTTCCCCAACATTCTTCAGTATATCTTGTTTTGTGCTTGCTTTGTGTGAGTAAATGGGGAAGGAACTTTCAGTTTTTGGGGGGTAGAACTATCCCTTTAAGAGGAGTAGGTCCCAAGCTGAAGCCAAATGTGACTCACAGTTTGGTCCTCCAAACATACAGCGGGATATGACATTTAGAGCTACTAGGCTAGATCCCCGGAGAAAAGCAGGGTGTGGGTGTTGAGTTTTGCAGTTTGCTTCAGTTATAAATGACAACACCCTCTGCACATGGTGTTAAGTCCAAATGGTTCTGTTGACATTGGACCTTCTTACTTTTTACTTTGGTGAAATGGAGCAGCACATGTTTTGCAGAGGAGAACATGATCGCCTGTTTTAGTAGAACCTACATGACTAGAGTCTTGCAGGAGCAATCATGGCTGCATAAAACAGACATATCGGCATTTATATATTTATCCATTTTTTTACTTAATCCATCATTTTTTTCATATTTAAGTATGTTTGAGTGCTGCTGCGCATCCCTGTGTGTGAAATATGCAATGTATACATGTTTGGACCTGCCTATAGGCACATATACAGTCAGAATTATTAGCCCCCCTGAATTATTCAACCCAGGCGCATTCTGAAAAAGTAGTCCTGC